GTGAATTCGGCATGAGTCCTTAGTTTTGGCCTGGCCAACACGTGACTGACCTCCTCGACTGGGCTTACTTTCGGGGGTCAGGGGCTGGATGTTGGGCGCCATTTTCATTTGTTGATGCGGTCGAGCAGCGTCCCTGCACTTTTGCGGCCACAAAACGTGAGCATCAAATATTGAAAACATTTCCCCGGCCGGGCTGCACAGTTTTTATGGCTGCCTCGCCATGGATGTGGATGTGGGCCCCAAGTGACGTGGCCAAAAAGAGCTTTTTTGGCAGATATTCCGAAGGCAGGACCCGTCTGATTGGTTTCTTGGCAACAAAACCCCACTGAACTACCACGAACCCGTTGCTGTTTACTCAAATAAACCCGACTTGCAACTTATTGCCATGTTATCTTTGATTTTGGCACCGGCACAGCGACTATCGAGAGCAGCCGGGACCAAAAAGACAACAAAACGGGGACGAAGACTTGCCACGTGACTCTATTTAATATATGACTTGAGATGGAATTTGTTTATACAAGATAATGGCACAGATAACTTATCTAATTGCTAAGTTCACAGATAGAGGGGAATAACCTCTAAATAAGACATAGCAATTATAACGTACAAGCTTACGTCTAGCAGGAAAATAATTCGATTTTAAAAAAGTTTGCAACCAATTACACATAAAAATAAATTTATGTAACTTATTGATTTGCTTATATTCTCAATACAATTGAGATGTATGTGGTAAAATATCTAAAAAGAGCAATCCGACTCTTAACTAAACTAGAATTTCTCAAGAGTAATTTAATCCAACGCCTAAAAGCAGGCAGCAATAAAGTTTACTTCCTGATTGCACTTCCACTTTAAGGTTTTCTAATATTTCATTAAACTTCTTCTGTAGTCCTCCATAAATTACAATAAATTTCATTCATTTAATATTCTCTTGAGGGGGGGTGGGAATCCCTTCTTTCTCCTCTTCCCCAAAATCTCCACCGTTGTCTGCCGCCTTTCAGTCGCTTCCATCTAATTTGCTTGGTTTGCCTGCACTTTGCAGGGAATTTGTTCGTTGTCGCAATGCCATAAATTGTGCAACTTATGCGGCCAACTGGCCGCCTTCTAATGCCCCAGCCCCCAACCCCCCTCTTCTGGGGCTATAAATTACAAGAAGGCATTTGCCACACTTCCGTTCGGAGGCCTTCAGGTCTGCCTCGGTTTTGGCCGGGTCTGCAGTGTCTGCAGTTTCCACTCCGACCAGGCCAGCCTGGGCTGGAGTTATTTTTGTGCCTTAAATCGGCTTAACTGGCCGCCGGAGTTGTAGTTGGCTCATCTGGACACCACGGGAAGGGGGTGAAAATCAATAACGCCAAGGAAGGTAGCTCCAACCGGCACGGCCATTGTTGTCGCCGTTGTCCATGGCAATAACATTTAAATGGCCAGGGCTTCTTGAAATTCACATTGCGAAAGCCTGAAACTTTAACACTTCCTAGCATGGCAAACAACCCCAGACTTGGACGCCCTTGTCGTAGAACCCCATCCGAGATATTCATTCGTAGTTTCTACAGTCTGGCTTCGGCTGACAGACAGGGCGAAGTTACAGAGGTGGGGATGGGGGGGTCTTGTAATTCTAGACCAGACTCTGCCGGTGGCGGCGACGCTTTGTCTGGCAGACAGAACCGAGTGACGAACAAATGTGGCAAAACGATTTATTTGGCTTTATCAGCAATTTTGATTCTTCTTTGTCTCCCATTGAAAGAGTCGCATTAAGTGTTCCGCCTGCGTTGCGGCGATTTGTCATATCGCTGATTTACTAACCTTACACCAGGCATTATCTCTTGGCAAAGAGCCCGATGGTGGAATCTGGTGGCGAACCACCCCTGCGAGCGGTTTGAGGGTGACTGTTCTTTCCTTTTCTTTTTTTTTTGCCGAGGGTGTAACTAACCGCCACAAGTGCACGGGGCAGGATATGCCTGCATGTGGATGTTTGCGCATATCGCCGGCATCAACATCAAATTTATTGAGGTAGTTGCCAGGCGGCCCTGGCAAACAAAACGAACATGTAAAAAGAAATGCTCTTTAACATGCAAACGTTTCTTTGTTTTTCTATTTTTTTTTTTTTTTTCATTACTATTTCTTTCATATATGTAACGGACAGAGTTGCCACTGCCGGGACAAACGAGCGGCTACCCTGTTGCCATAACAAACATGCATAAAAAATGATGACACAGACGGCAAACAAGCAGAAAAAAGCAAACACGTAATCCGGCAAGTGTTGCAAATTGAAAGCGCTTCTAGGCCAGCCTACATGAGAAGCAGTCACCTGAATAGCTCCGGTTCCTGGCCCTTAGAATGAATGGGCTGTGTCCCTAAATTGGTGTCCTTTTTGCAGTCCCAAACATGCCATACAGCACACACAAAGCTAGGATGGCCAGACATGGCAACACTGCGTACAGGGCACATATCCTTTTATCGATATTTCGTTGCAATCCTAATGGAATTTCCTGCGTTGTTGTCTACTCCTTTAAACTGGCTCCATATCCATTGGCCGTGTTTATTATTCATTTCCTTGCAGTGCCTCGATAAAGCGCTTTTCCTGCACATTTTCATGGCGCTCCCCCGGTGTTTGCCCTTTTGTGGGCTTCCCTGCGGTTGTCGCCAACACTTTCCACTTACAGCTCGCTGCGTTTCGCGCTTAACCAGCCTATATATATATACATATACATATAGTGCATACACCATATAGGTTCTCGCATTGGGAAAATAGGGTGGAATGGGTGGAATGTGTGGAGAGGGGGTGACCGACGAGGTCTGTTATTGTTGTTACTGGGTGACTGGTTCCGTTTATTGTTATAGCGCACATTGCATTCTGATGGCCCCACTGCAGTTGTCATAAATATCTAGTAGGTTTTAGTCTAAATATTTAGTGCAGGATTGCCACCTCTATAGCTCGGTTTCGGTAGCCCTACCCCAAAATCGAATCATAGTTGGCTGTCTAGGGCAACTGTCAAAAGTCATTCGAGAATGATTTGGTGTCGGTCTCACAAATTTATTTCTACTCAGTCGTGAAAATTTTTAGCCGTCTTTCGAATCGTTTCGGAACAACTACCTTTCTGACTGTAATTTGTATTCCTAAAAAAAGAAAATATATAAAACGTATAAAAGTAAAATTCTGAAATTATTACAATACACACAATTGCAAGCGAAATTCCAAGTCATCGAAGGAAATTTAAAAATTCTTAAATTGTTGCATTTCGCGTGTGGTTTCCGAGATGGAGGCCAACGTTCAGAAGGATGGCGGTGGGGGGGGCGGCGAGTCCCCGACCCCCAGGATTCTCAAGACCCGCTCTGCAATACCGAATCTTAGCCCAAAGCCCAGTTCCAGCAGTGAGTATTTCGCCTATTTCACGGGTCTAAAGCTCCATATTGCCCCGATATCAATCGAAAAGTATTTCAATGTCAGCGAAAACGAAACGAATGGCAGAGAAATTATTGCGAACATACGAAATTCGCAATAAGCCTGATGATTGAAGAGGGGAAAGAGAGAGAGCAACAAACAAAAAGCGTAACGCTAGAAATTTCAGAAATGTTCGCGTTTGCTCATAATTTAGTGGGTTTCGCTCTTTCTAGCGTTGCCTCCCGTTCTTTTTAGCGATAGAGCTTGCTGATATTTTGCACATGTTACGCAATTATCGCTCTCGACTAGTTTGGGACCCCAGCCCCTCATTTTTATTTATTTTCTGCCTGCAGCTTGCTTCGTTTTTTGTTTGAACGTCAAACACACACTTCGCCGACATCTGTATGTATGTACATGTGAATCAAAATAGCATTTGCTGATTGTGCGACTGCTAAGGTAGATTTCTATGCTACGACGTGTATAGGTGAGCGTTTGCCACTTGACAACGGGCGGAAAATTTGCATTTTCATTATGAGTGTGCCATAAATATTCATTTATGATAAATTCCTGAATGCACCTGCACTTGCAACTAAATCAAATTGCTCTTATTTTCTCTAGTCTTTCAAACCAACGGAATTCTGATGCGTGAAATATTATATACATATTGTACATTAAACATATTTTGAAACATAATTTTTTTACTTAGCTCTTTTCTTTTTTGAGACGGATTATTGCTTGTAATTTGTACAGTGTACGCGAATACTATCTTGCTAATGTTCTAACAATTTTACAACCTGTTAGTAGATAAGAATTGTCAAACATCTAAATCGCAGTTTACAACTAGCAACTAGCTGTTAAATTTCATATTTAACTAACTAAAGTGCAGTGGCAGTTTAACACACCATTAAAATAGAACACACAATCACAATGATTCAGGTAAAGATTTATCAGCGGTTACCATAGCAACCAATACGTCACGCTTATCGGTCTTGCCTAATAGGTGAACTACATCGCGTATACGTAACGCGTCACGCACAATTCGCAAAACGCGACTCATTTCGATTGTTTACATTTTGGCCAACACGTTTTTATGCCGCTCTCCCTTCACTTTTCTCTTTACGCATCAACTTACTCACGCACTTTTTGGTGCTTTCATGCTCTTTTTCTTTCTCTTGATTTTCTCCCACTTTTGGATCGCAAATTTGTGCGTTTCGCATTTTGTTTGAAGTCAATGAACTTTTTTGCTTTGTTGTCTACTCTCACATACTCTCTAAATTCATTTCTTCACTTATCTCATTTTACGAGTGCGTGTGGCGATGCGTAAGTTGCGAAATTTTTGTATTTCGCACAATCTCGCGACCCATTTTTCAAGCAGTCGCCATTTGTTGCTATTTTTCAGCGTTCGTTGAACTGTACAACGTAAATTTGTAGGTCGCTAAAAGCTGTGGGTCCATAATAAGCCATTCCAAGAATATACAAATTAATTTATTTTGGCAATACAAAATTTAGGTATAATAAGAAAATTAGGAATTGCTAATATTGTTATTAAACCATAATATTGTGTAATTGTCTTTTGCTTTATTATGAAATTTTATTTATTTTTGTATTTTTATTATACTTACAGAAATGGCGGAGGGTAATGGCGAACTGTTAGATGACATTAATCAGAAAGCCGATGACCGTGGCGATGGCGAACGTACAGAAGACTATCCCAAGCTGCTGGAATACGGTCTGGACAAGAAAGTGAGTATTTGTTGGACACCATGGTAGGATGATCTTCAACTGACCGACATTTGCTTAGGTCGCCGGCAAACTGGATGAAATCTACAAAACGGGCAAGTTGGCTCACGCCGAGCTGGACGAGCGCGCACTGGACGCGCTCAAGGAGTTCCCCGTCGATGGTGCCTTGAATGTGCTGGGTCAGTTCCTCGAATCGAACCTGGAGCACGTGTCAAACAAGTCCGCCTACTTATGTGGCGTGATGAAGACGTACCGCCAGAAGAGTCGAGCCAGCCAACAGGGCGTGGCCGCGCCCGCCGCTGCCATTCAGGTCAAAGGTCCCGACGAGGACAAGATCAAGAAGATCCTCGAGCGCACCGGCTACACATTAGATGTGACGACAGGTGAGATAGTCCACGAGTTTCTCAATACCATAATATACATCACCATTCTTGAATCCATAATCATATTATAAATATAAATTCCACCGCTTAGGTCAGCGAAAATACGGCGGACCGCCACCGGATTGGGAGGGAAATGTGCCGGGCAATGGTTGCGAGGTTTTCTGCGGCAAGATACCCAAGGACATGTACGAGGACGAACTGATTCCGCTCTTCGAGAACTGCGGCACAATCTGGGACCTACGCCTCATGATGGACCCAATGACGGGCACAAATCGTGGTTATGCATTTGTCACATTCACAAATCGCGAAGCGGCCGTCAATGCAGTGCGACAGGTATTTAAGCCAACCACAGACCCTTCATACCACCACCACCCAACCAACCACCTACCCACCCACCTACCTTGCCCCACCTTCTACGCCCCGCCTCCCCAAAAAAACCCAAATCAGTATCCCCCGCTTCAATGTTTTTTACGTATCGCTAACTCCTACGATATATACATATCCTATATATACATATTTAACGTATTGTATCCACATATTTTACTCTCGTGTTATAAAAATCGAAGAAAGTAGGAACAGTTATGCGGCCAAAACAAAATTAAAACAAATCAAATTCTCCACAGCAAGACCGAAAAATTACCAATATGATCTAACCGATTTGGCGCTTTTAGATCAGAGACCAGATAAATTGTGCAATTTTATTTAGTTTTTACCGTATGCTAACTTTACCACTGCCTTCGCTATATACAAATTTGAACTATAGGCAACGCTATCTGTCTCACTCTCTCGCTGTCTCTCTCTACTTGATCTTTCTGTAACTTATGTAATGCATGTCCCGTCTTCTATGATTTGTAATCTTAAATTATGCAAACGAATCTCTTCAGCGCCTTTAAATCGTTCAAATTGCAAGTTTGAAAAGAGTTCTCCTTCTCTACGAATAAAGATTTGGCCTCCCTTAAAATACACACACACTCCCCAACCCGCTCTTCTATCTGTATTATTTTCTTTTTAGTTTAATTTTCTCTAGTCCTAAGTCCAGCTATGTAGCTATCAACTTTTGTAGTCAACTTAGCAGCGTACGTTCAACCTCACTGTCTGGTTTTATTTAGACGAGCATGACCAAAATTCAGATTACGATATAGGGCGGAGAATTGAGCCGCCGAATATCTAATGCCTTAACCAGTTAACCACTAACAAAAATGTTTTTCCTTTAACATTTCCAAACCGAAACTCAACCGAAATTCTACGCGGCCCGCTTCGAAATTGGTAAACAAATGAAATGTTTAACAATCCTAATCTTATTATTTAACCCCTCCTTATTCTAATCACCCCTTTATTTGCCTTAGTTCAAAATTATTTATTAGTTATGATTTTATTAATTTATTATTAACATTGAATTGGTATTAAAAAACAACGTTTTACCTTCCCTCCCACAATTTAGCTCGATAATCACGAAATAAAACCCGGCAAGTGTCTGAAAATAAATATAAGCGTACCGAATCTGCGCCTTTTCGTAGGCAATATTCCCAAGTCAAAGGGCAAAGATGAAATTTTAGAGGAATTTGGTAAACTTACAGGTAAATTGACAAACACGACATTAACCAAAAAATCTATTTTAAATTACCATCACTGGAGTTGCTTTTGGCAGCTTCACAATCGGCTTTAAACTGTAAACAAAAATCCAATTGGCTAAACAAACAGAAATTGGCTAATTGCAAGAGCAAGACGGTTTTGCTAGGTTAGAAAGGGTCTTAGGATTTTTAAGTTAAGTTTATTTTATGTGTTATGTTTTTGTTTCAACTCATCCCTTTACTATTCACCCTCCACCTCAAACCATCCAAACCATCCGCCATTGCCATCTCAACACTTCAGAAAAAGTTGAAAAGTGTTCTCCCCTGAAAATACAAATCGAGACACTCTTTTCAAATGCGCCCACGCTCCATGATAGAAATCGAAACACAAACATCGTCGGATGCATATTTCTCAGTTTTATCATATGTATATGTTGCCTCATATATAGCAGACCCACACAACCACACCGACACATACATACCCACATAGATACAGCGACACGCCCATTTGTCTCATTGCCATTCGTTACAAGCTTGAATTGTCGTATAAGAATATTTCTTTTCAACTTATTTACATAATATCTCCAGTCATTAACTTTGCCTACAAAAAAAAAGAACCAACAAAAAAATATTCAAATTTTTAAATTTTTTACCAAATTGTTATGCATTCCAAAACTTTGTTTCCATTATGTTCTTCTATAAATATTAATCACACCGTAGGAAAGCAGGCTCTTAAAAATCGAAATATTAAGTATACGCCGTGTGCTAGCTAGAAAGTCATTTCAAGTGAAATTGACAAGGTAAGAGCGAGTGGCATTTGACTTTCTAGCTGCATAGAGCCCAAAAAGTTCCCCGTTTTTTTTTTATTTTGAAGTAATTGTTCCGCATAGTAAGTACTAGTACTGGTAGTGACAACGAATAATCCACATCAAATCAACTGGAATTTAGCTAAAGAACAACCTTATTTTTGAGTAAATTAATTTTTTATTTGGCACGCAATACAAAATATTAAAAAAAAGTTACTAAAGTTTAGATAATAGAACTCCACATTTTCTCCCACCCATGAGAATAACTATCACACACGAACACTCATTCTTCCACCTTTGAAACCACAAACCCGATACCAAATCAATCCAAAATCAAATCGCAGTACCAATGAACTACAAATTTTTCATAGCAAATCAAAATTTTCTTTTGTTTTGTGTGAACTTTTAAACAATTGCAGCTAAATGATTTTGAAATTCGGAAAGGCAAAAAGATTGGTGTTACGATATCATTTAACAATCACCGGCTATTTGTCGGCAATATACCTAAGAATAGAGATCGCGACGAATTAATTGAGGAATTTTCAAAACATGCACGTAAGTGATCCAAAAACCAACAGCAACCACAAACAAAGCAAAAGACCCCTAAAAAAACCAAGACCCCAAAAATCAGACCAGCACAAACCCCAATTGGCTACCAGAATTGGCCAACCTTAATTACTTGTATTTAATCCCATAAATGTTTTTAGGGGCGATACTTGCAGAATTAAAAAGCGCATGGAAGCCTACAAAATGAAGTATCAATTGGATTTTTGTTTTGCAATTTTCGCTTTTAAAATGCTGTACCCTCCAACCAAAAAAAAATCAAATTATCAATCACTTTAAAACTCCCCACAAAATTGAAACATTCTAACAAGTGAACAAATCAAGGGCAAAGCTTTTCAGTTAATTAAAGCTGTGTCCTTGAGTCGATTGCATTTTATTCTCTCACTCATTTTCTGTAGCGTAAAGCGCTGTTAGTAAATACAACAAAAAATTAATTGTTCTTTAATTTTTTTTGTTTAACATTCCAATTATTAAATGTGCCCAATTTGTTGACATTGAAAACCTGTAGCTTAACAATTCGCTAACCAAAACATTTTGAATATTTTTGAAAAAACCAAAAATAATAAAGGGATAAACCTAGTTTTTGTTTTAGTGCAGACCTATATCATATACACATAGATAATAAACGGCGCACACAAACCAAACCAAACCAAACCGAAATGCGATCCCGCCCCAAAAACCAAAATATGAAACAGTAATTCGTCTACTCAAATCGATATGTTTTGGCCTATTATTCATGTTGAATATATAAAATTCATTTATTAATGACTGGAGACTACAAGCCTTAAAAATGAACTCATTTTACTCTAACTCTCTCTGTATCTATCTCTCACATAAGCGCTACTTCCCCGAGCAATTGATGCAAACGAATCGACGAGAAACTAAGCCAAATTCAAAATCCAATATCCATATTTCGTTGTTACGTTATTGTTCTCTATCTCTACCGATCTCTCGTTGTATCTCAGTGTACACACAATTTCTCTATATATCTCTTAATCTGTCTAACTCTGGCTATGTTTGTGTATAGTTTTCCCGTTATCGTTTCCATTACTCCAAAGGATAAAAAACAAATCCAAGCTCAATGTGTGCTCTACTTCGTGTTGTGTTTTTGGTTATATTTTGTTACTTTCCTATTTTAATTGCAACATGTACTATATATATAAAAACAAACAAACAACAACAATAGCAACAGAGGTTTTATTAAGTGTTTTTCTAAATGTGTGTTTCATTTTACAATACTCTCTATACGTATTACATATCCAACTTAATGTTATACCCCCCCGCTCTCTGTAATACTTTCTCTAAATCTCAAACCCTGCATACACAAAAACAAAACTGTTATTAGCTTAGCGCATTCAATTATTCAAAAATATTTCAAAAAGTTAAGCAAGCGGCAATTGTTGGCATTGGTTTTCAAAATCATCTAATTCGCTCTACATATTATATAGAGATTCAGATTACGGAAATACTCATTATTTTACACAACATCATGTAAAATTTTGTGCATTTCTGTATAAATATAAATATAATACAGTATTCAACTTATTTATAAATACCCGTCAAGAGTGCGTCTCAGTGTCTTATCACCTGTACTCGCAAACATTCTCGCACACAAAAACACCTGCCAATATACCGATACAGATACAAATACTTTTTTGTTGTATTACTTTCGTTTCAATTTTTACATATGCAACCAACTAATCATATTGCATTTGAATTGATAACACGATTTATATTTACTGTACTCAAATGACAATTTTCTTTATTTAAAAATAAACCTGATCCCGAATCTGAACCTATAGCTGGCCTTTACGAGGTAATCATATACAGTTCGCCAGATGATAAGAAAAAGAATCGCGGCTTCTGCTTTCTCGAATACGAGTCACACAAGGCGGCATCTTTGGCCAAACGAAGACTTGGCACTGGTAGAATTAAGGTGAGTCCAAAAATCGAAATTAATTAAAACAAATTTAAATTATAATGTGATCCATTTATCAGGTATGGGGATGTGATATAATAGTCGACTGGGCCGATCCACAGGAGGAGCCGGATGAACAAACTATGTCCAAGGTTAAAGTTCTTTATGTGCGAAATCTAACCCAGGACGTCTCAGAGGATAAGCTGAAGGTAATACCAGTAGATAACCTAAATAATAACCATGATCTAATACTAAATTCTATCAACAGGAGCAATTTGAGCAATATGGAAAGGTGGAACGCGTTAAGAAGATAAAAGACTATGCCTTTATACACTTTGAGGATCGTGATAGCGCCGTCGAAGCTATGCGTGGCCTTAATGGCAAGGAGATCGGCGCCTCGAATATTGAGGTGGGTGTTTGCTAACTGCAACCAAAATCTGAAATATTTTCTAACATCGTGTCCTTGTAGGTCTCTCTCGCCAAACCTCCCTCGGACAAAAAGAAAAAGGAGGAAATTCTGCGGGCTCGTGAGCGCCGTATGATGCAAATGATGCAAGCGCGTCCCGGGATCGTGGGGTAAGTACTTCGAGCCCTAGCAATTTTAATACCCCAACCAAATACTCCACCTGAAAACTTGTCTAGCACAGCAACACCTACAATACCCACAGATTGGCGCAAAATTCCAAAACCAAAAATGATATAAAGTACAAGTGCTGTTAAAAGCACTCCATTGGGCACGTTAGATTTCGGCTAATTCCAAATTGAAAATGTCTGTTTGCTTTTCAAGTCGCCACCATTCAAATCAGTCGATTACTTACATATTTATATTTTATTATTGTTTTCTTTCTTTCTTTGCCAATTGCCCGCTACGTGAATGAACTTCACCCCCAAAATACTTTGTTGTATACCCCGCACACGACACCAAAAAACCAAAAAACCATAAACCAAAAACCGAACCATCTCCGTGTGGGATTACCTTGTAAAGATTTGAAACCTTGTCTCCATACAGAAATCTGTCGCCGACACATCCCAGCATGATGTCCTTGACGCCCATGCGCCTGCAAGGGGCGCGCATGCCGCTGCGTACGCCGATACCTCGCGAATACGGTAAGTTTGGCAAATTCGCCAAGTGAATATCCATCCGTATCCGTCGGATACGTTTCTAGATGTCTGTATGTATATGTATATGCATAGCCATCCAGGCTATGATGTTGATGTTAATATTGATGAGGAGAGAAGTGAAGAGCAGGCAGCCGCAAGCGCCTTCAATTTGGGACTCTACACAATTGAGAAAAAATACTTTATAACTTTTGTTAATTTGGTTTAGTTCTTGTAGTCAGTTAGTCAAGTTGTTAGGCACACTCACACACACACACACCACACTAACACCACTCATACACCCACACACAGCGTATTAATCAAGTACTTCAGTATTTTCTAGGTTCGTTTTTAGTTTTAGTTCGAAGTCTAACACTAATCCGGTCTGCAGTTTAAGCCTTAAGTTGAACGATATCATGTCCGCCATCGAACGCAACGTTTTGTTACCCTCTGTTTATCTTGATTATTGTTTTTCCTCGCCTCATCATTTAAGTTATTTAAGGTTCAGAAAGCGCGCGCTATCTACTAACAATTGTATAATTGCCCCAGAAACACACACACACACAACGCACATCCACTCACTCTCACCCAAATGCCCCAAAGTCACGCTTAGCACTGCCCTCGAGTCCCAGTCGAGTGAGAAAACGTATCCAGCTAGATCGAGATTAACCCACTAACCTTAAGATCTCTGACCATTGGCAATCAATTGAAGTAACTTACTTGAATATAACCAACCATTTCACTGATTTCTATTACTTTTCTCATCTTACTAATCGTAAATGTTGTTTCTTTCTTTCCGATACTCGCATTTGCAAGTTATATGTCAATGCTCTATTTATCTCCACAATAATTATTATCCTTGGTTTACTTGCATGTCCGTATTTATTTATTTCCTTATCGATGTTGTCCAGTTTTCCCCTTTTTGTTGTTTTATATAACCTATCTTCGACTCTCCCGCCCCTCCGATCCGAACTCTCTGTGTCGCAAAGTGCAAGGCATTAAAAACACACAATACTCAATCCATAACCAAAGCATAGACATTAGACATTAAACCTTAAACGTTGTCCATAGTTGTTTACGATAATTAAATGTTGCAATTGTGTTCTCTGTGTAGCGAATGTTAAGCACCCTGTATACTGTTTGATGTTATATCACCGGTAAGTAACCCTAAGTCTCATCTACTTATGCCACATACCGATTCGTGTGTGTTTTAGTGTGACATCTAAACCACCAACCAACCAACCACCCAACAACAACCACAATCAAAACCATCAATCCATTTATACCCCCTCGCGAGTATCTTGTTGCGTTACAGTACGCGCCCAATTCGTTGAACATTGGCAAAGTGAAACAATTGGCAGCATATAATATATACAGGAGGAGTTTTAGGTCTAGGTGTAGAGAGGGGGGAGGAGTATCTTGTCGTAACCCATTGAAAGTCCTCAACCTAATCCTAATCCCCGCCTTATACCCACCTGTACCTTCCCCTGCAGAATACGATTACGACTATTTCGGTTTCTCGGACTACCGCCCGGGTACTTATGCCACCAACGAGTCGTTCTACGACGAGCTGTACCGCTCCTATGATGGGGATTACAATTACTACGATTACCAGAGCGGCGCGGGCAGCGGGGGCGGGAATGTGGCCGGCGGTCCGGTGATTCCGCTGCCGTCCGGCGGCGGCGGCTCCTCCCAGAACTCACCGCTGGCCAGTGGGCAACGATCGGCCAGATCCTCAGCAAGTGGTCCCAGTGGTTCGACGGGCATTGTGGTGCGTTTTTACGAATCGAACTCTCATTAGATCCCCTCGAATCGGAGTACAATTTGAAGAACAAGAAAACACCGCACACAGAAACACAAGATTTGTAGAGTTCGTTTTGATTTATACTGATTTTTAGATATGCCCTCAGTTGATGATTGATTGCCTTCCTCTTGTAGTAGTTAGTTTATTTTGTAATTTCCTTCGATTTGTTTACAAACGCTTCCATCATTTGGCTTTAATTTCCCCCAAAATATGTTTTCTTTGTTTCGTTTATGAAGTCAAAATTTGCACGATTCTTGCTGCCAAATTCCACCAAACACCCACCACTCACCCACACCCAAAAACCAAATTACAAATGCACACCATGCCACGCCCACTCGCCCACACACACCCACAGACACACGTGCACGCCCATTGCCGGAACAAGGATTATTTGTTGCTTGTTTTCGCATTGTTTTGCTTTACCCATGGAAACATCCTACCATTTAAGGACTCTACGCGCGCAACGTCGCAATCGAAAAATTAACAAACGGTGCTTTATTACGCTTAACTTATGCTTTTGCTTGTACGTATACCTGCTTATTTATTTATAATTTAAATTGCACCATCCATCGCCAGGCTGAATTAACCATTTATTATATATTTATGAGCTGAACACGGCGTGCTGATGTTTTAATTTTAATCAATTTTTAGCAATTAAGTGAATCGCTTTTTATTACGACTGCCCACCCAAATGCGTCGCTTTATATTAATATATATATTTGTTTTGTTACAAACGCAAACGCTTTAATGTTTAAACCGATTAACCGCATTACGCTTATTGTATTCTTTTAGTTACATTATAAAACAAATTTACAAACATGGTAAAGTTATTTTTTGAATATTGTGTCAATCGCAAGAGGCAAAACTTCTGTTGCTTGGACTTAAACGTTTCAAGCGCCCCAGATCCGTTGTTATAAGTATATTATAATACCCAATTGACTAGTTAAATGCTCACTCAGTTTACACCTAAAACAGAGAACAGTATATATACATTTTAGTAATTTCTATATAAATAATACATACTTTATATGCATACATTACATCGTGTATGTACAATCAAACAAACAGTTTTACACAAAGAATCTAACGCGTTTATTTCGATTTTTTTCTTTTCTTTTCTTTCTTTTTATGTGTTCTTGTTATATACTTATCTATATACAAATACAATTCATTTGTTTTTCGGTACAATATGACAAAAAAACAACAAATCTTGAAAAAAAAATTATATATATGTTCGTCAAAACCAAAAAAAAAACCCACATTAAAATTACAAATTCTATCTCTGCCACCAACCTAAATCAAAATCAAAACAAAAATCAACCACCAACCAAATGACCAAATCTAAAAACAAAAACTATCGTTAACCTTTCGATTCAAAACCAAACGAAAACTGTTTTTCTGACCCCCCACCCTTATTCCGAAAACGCAACCGCACCAAATTCGAAATTCTCATCGATTCGACATTCAAAATTCAAAATCAATTCAAAAACGTTCTTTTTTATTTTGCCTAAATCTTTTGTTTAATTCGAAATTTGAAATGACCAAATTTGACAATTATCTTGGCGATCCATATATATACAAACACATTCAATTATGTATAAAAAATGCTAATGCTATTGAAAAATTGTAAACGCAAAAATTCGAACAAAAATTTCGAAACCTGAAAAACTGAAATCAAAAACGAAATCAAAACGCAAAACCAAACCAACGGCCGATGGATAACCAAAAATGATGGAAAATGGAACCGTATCTGATCTGGAAATGCAAAAAACACGCTCTCGAAACACCCACCACCACCCACACAACACAACACACACACTCGAAACACACGTAAACACCACACACACACATGTACACCACACCCACCCACAAACGCAACTAATGCATGCAATAATGACGATGATGATGATGATGACGCCTACCCACTGTGCCATTGAAATATGATCACGATGATGATGATGATAATGTGATGTGGATGTGGATGGATGTGTAGGGAGTTGGTCGTGGGCATGGAATCACAGTGCCGCGTGGCAGAGTCGTTGGCCAGCGTGGCAGCATCAGTCGTCTGGGGGCCCAAACAGTGCCACAGGCGGCGGCAGCGGCAGCGGCGGCGGGACAGGCGGCGGCGGCGGCGGTAGCTCAGCGGGGGCCACCGGTCAGGGGGCGCCGGCAGCAACCGGGGGGGTCCGTGGGGTGGTGCCAACGCGTCCCAGCGCTCGTGGCACCCAGCACGTCAAGCCGCTACAAAATTTACCAGGTGAGCTCAACAATACAAAAAAACACAAGATCGTATCTCAATAATACACCACAACAATAAAATACCAATCAACAAATAAAAAAAAAACCACCAATCAAATTCAAAACCAAATCAAACCAAAAACCAAATCGAATCAAAAACGATACCTCCCAACAACCTGCGCCAAGTGAAACTGCATAAACAAAACCAACAACAGCGACAAACTTAAGAGAATATATACATTGCAAATGTCAAATTCATATAAATTAATAAGTAAAGCCAAGTAAAAATGTAACATGCATATGAAATACCACCCACACCCCTACGAACACACACACACAGACACGCACCCCACACACACACTCATCACGCGCACAAAAACAAAAACGAACATAACGAGAGATTTTAATATAGTGTGAATCCCCTCCCCCAGAATCCCCCCCAAAAAAAGGTCACTTCAATGTCGTGTGTCTCGCATTTGTAACTGTTCTAAATGTTGTAAATTTTATTACTAATTCTTTGGTTATTTTTTTTAATACTTCCATTTTACTTTCTTATACAATAATCATACTTTTCTTCTTAAATGTTTCTCTTGCTGCTTACTATTGTGATGTTATTATCCATTCATTTTTTTTTCATTTCTGTGTCGGCGCTGAAATGTATGCTACAATTTTTGATGCATGTCTTGACTTAGTTTTTTTCTGGTCCAACTGTAAGCAGCAATTGACAGCCACGCCCATTAAACACAGACCCACTCGCGCACACACACACAGACACACACACCGAAACATATCGCCTATGTATATGGATAGCCATTATAACAAATTATGTAATTGTTTATACACATATTGTCTTGGATATGTACCTAACTAAATGAGCAATGTCTGTAAACGTTTATGAATCGATTAGTATTTATGACCCAACACCCAACCACGTACAGAGAATATATTGTCACCCACTAACTAAGCGCCATAGAGAGTCGGGAGAGTTAATGAATTCCGATTAATATCCATGTTTGTCCCTAACCTGTTTATTCCCATCGATAGAACCCGCCGAAAAAATAGCCCCATCCAAAATTTTGACGTACGTGTATATAATTTTTTGTGTTTTTTTTTTATCCCGCGCTGATTTGTTGCCTACCAGCTACAAATAATATACTTATACAAATGATACGCGTTTCAAGATTGACCTGATCGATTGCGATTGCACAAATCTAAATATAAAACCTTTATTTATATATTATTTATATTCTAGCCCATTAATTTAACAATATACATATAATATTTTGTGTGATTTTATGTATATCGAACTGTGAGTCTTGTTAATTAATTATCCATCATGCTTTGCGAAGCCAAAAAAAAAAAACAAATAAAAATAATAGTTTAGTAACCTATACACATGTATACCTATATGACCTTATATATGTATAATATAACCACCCTTTAACATTTCATACATATCATATCCACACACAGGGTGACACCAGTACCAACTGAGATCGTTTTTTATTTACTTTATGTATAAACAAATACTAATCGATTCGTGTATTATGTTTACAACACGCACACACACCAACCAATTTTTGTTATAATTTGTTGTCAATGGAATCTATACTTGTTTATATATACATATATACATAACATATGTATGTGTATATAGCGGAGAGCCCTAACCAGATCACGCTTTTGTTCCAGTAATGTGGGTTGACTAACAAAAGCGTGACAAACTCGAGAAGCACCCAATAATCCACCCACAGAAAACAGAAAACACCACCGCCCGATCACCTGCTTCCGTTTTGAACACGCTTTACATTTTTGTGGCTGTACTCGTAGATACTTTTGTCTTCACGAAAGACAACTTTTTATTTAATGTTAGAATGCTTCACACACACATGCTCATACCATATACCAACAAGCGCTTTGTTTTTGATACCACCACTGTGTCAGCAGAGTAAATGCAAAAAAAAAAAAAAAATCTAAAAATGAATGCAAAACAAACCAAAAACCTAAATCTGTTTCTAGCTGGAGCTGCACTCAAGACTTTCATGGAGGGCAACTAAGCGTAGCACGTCGACCTCCTCCACGGTCAGCGGCAAGAGTCGCTCTCCGGTCAAGAAGCGTAAAGTCCATAGGTCCCCACATAGCAAGTCCAAGTCACACAAGTCCAAGAAGCATTCCCACAAACCCAAGTCGTCTCGGCCCGAAAAAGAAAAGAAATCCAAACGGAAGTCCGTCTAAAATAATTCTGCCATTGCTAAATTCATAATGTGGGCTATGCCCACGACACTCTGTCCCAAGAACACAAACCACATTATTCTATGTGAACATCATACCTATTACTTTTTTTCCAAAATCAAATCACAACGAAGAATCTCGTCATTGGCAGTCCAAAAGAAAGAAATTCAAGAACACATCACGCATCTCGTCCCATGGACTTGCAGGATCAAAATCTATAGCGCCAGATCAGATCAGTTCAGCCCTGTAAACAGACCGCCCCGACAAACACTGAAAGAAGTCCTTGCTAAATTCAAAATTTGAATGCTTGGGAGTGGAGAACGAACCCCCAGCAGCACACTCGCCAATGGCCCAATACATAGAATACACAAACCCGCGTCTTTCAAGTACAGCGCTCTGTTATCCTTTGGTCCAGGGATCCATCGATCTGGCGGCCGACTCCTTTTGTAACCTTGTCCCGGTTATCGCCGATCGCCCATCGCCCATCATGTTAGCTGTGCCTAAATGTTCCGTGTTTCATGTCGGGCGATAATATCATGTACAATGTTTTACTTACAACAAAGAACCCCGTTTGGTAATTGTTAACTCCCCACACATACACGAATACACTCTGCACATTACATCATAATCACACACCCCAAAACATTATGTATTTGTACATGTAATCATGTCCCAAGTCCCTGGCGTTATGTCGAGTTAACACGATTTTCCCGATTTGTGATGTGTAAAACCAATGATGAGATAAATTAAACGAACAAATTATCAAATGTGTTGTCTTTAATTTTTTTTTGGATATCACTTCAGCCCCAACGACCCCCTACTTACAAAGCAAAAACAAAATGGACAAAATATCATTAAATTGTGCTACTAAAAAAAAAACTAATACAACGTCAAGAAATCCCCATTCGAACCATAGACCAGTTGAACTTAATCCAATCAAAAACAACCAACTACCAAACAAAGAAATAATAGCAACAACTTTGAACCATTTTTGTATTAACAAAATTTTTAACTCTCTTTCTCTTTTTTTTCTTTCGAAAAACACCTTCACCACCCACCCAAAAACACACAACAACGCACACCAAAAACCGAATGCCTTCCAAAAAAAACAACAACCTACGACCACCGTCACCAATCCGCAGTAGTCGGTAAACGTAAGTTCGATGGAGGTCACCAAAATCCGGCAGATGTTAAGCGACGTTACCCGAGCGGTTTAATAGGAAATGGCGGCAGTTGGGGCAGTTTACCGCTACCACAGCAACCTTTAGGCACCAATGGTGAACAGTGGTACATGGATACGTTTTCGGCATGGAGTTAAAACCACACAGCAACAACAACAACAACAACCCAATTGAAATCAGTTAAAAGCATCATTAACAACAAGAACAACAACAACAGCAGCAACACAAGGAAGTTACAACCAAAAATAATTATTTTCTCCGAACAAAATCCTGGAGAAGAATCCTTCGCGTCATAGTAAACACAAAAAACAAAAATAGCAAACATTTATAAAAGCAATAAATTTAATTTCAACAAACTATATAAAGTATAAGAAACACAATTAGCCACAATTCAAAAGCATTGTTTAGAGATTCGTTTCGATCTTAGTTATTTTGCTATGAACGCCGTAGATTGCGTCCCTCCAAATAATAAAAATAATAACAAATCAAGAAATCAGCAATAGCAGCAGCAAATATGTCGAGTAGAGTATATGTATTGTATGTAATCACATTAAAAATAGCCTTTGCAGCAAGAGCATTTTAAACGAAAAATTTTCATTTAGCGAAACAAGTTTAGCAGATTTTCCCAAATCCAATTTTAAAAAGCATCAGCTTCACAACTTAGATAAACCAAAGTCAAATCGTTTTAAAAGTTCACAAAATGTATAAGGAAATTTGTCTCATAGCGTTTTTAACTCGAAATTGAAACAATAATTGAGCATATATAACAAAACCTATATGAAAATTAAAAAAATATAAAATATATTTATCTATAACTATATAGAGAGAGCAGTCTAAGCCCATACAGATTGATTTTAAATCTTAAGCAGCATGTAGCACCCCTTTTATACATTGAAACAGCGTAAACAACCAAATTCAAAATCTATTCGACTTGAACAAGTTTTACAATATTTACATGGGCTCGGAAAATTGGAAGTTAAAAAAATACATTTTAGACAGGCAATTTCTTCTTTTGTATATAGCCAATGAAAAGCTGGCAAGCGGTGAAGCAAAATAAATGGGAAACCCAGACATATATACACGAGATCAAGCTCAGATGAATTGAAAAACTGTTAAATATTCTAAGAACACCAAGAAACACAATTCAAATTAATTGAAAAGCAAAGCTTAGTGAAGAAACATTGACTGACAAAAATAAAGAAAAACAAATTATTAATTAGATTGAATGAGTTGATATGAGAACGATAAGCAAATACAAAAATTAAAACGCAGCCAGCATTATTATATAATGCGAATGGCGAAGGCAACTGGCAAGACTTTCTGCATAAATTTGAAAACAAACTATTTTTTAACAAAGTAAGTTTTAGGCAACTTCAAATCAATTATCTGTCAGAAGTTAAAAACAAAATATGTAGAGCTAAGTAATTGCACACATACAAAACTACACTTAAAACTCACTGATAATACTGATAAGCAGATAAAAATCGCAAATCAACAAGAACTTTGACTTATGTCTGCAAATCGAAGCAACGAATTAGGAAGAAAACATATAGACGCGGAGACAACACATCACAAACAGTAAAAGTAAAGAACCTAATAATAAAATTGATTATGAATTTTAATACCAATAACGCATACTTAATATTAACACTTGTAAAACGAGTACGATTAAAGCAATCTAATCGTTCTTAATGTTAAAAAAACGCAGACAACTAAAACTATAAAATCAATTAGCCAGCGCTCAAGTGCGTATTAGCAGCAATCCTAAACCAATCACAGCTAAGAAATTCTATTTAAAGTCCACTTATCCAATATCGAATTCAGATTAAAGTCTTTTCCCCACTTTCCTTTACTCATCTATAACTGCTACGCACACAGATAATACGGAAGAGAACACAAACATAAGATAAATAATAAATATATCAAGCTGACTTGCAAAAACTTAACTAACTCCATGCCTATAAAAAAAAAAACGCCACACACGTGTCAAAATACGTTTATATAGGGAAAATTAATGAAACAAAAACATGCCCGTTTATTTTCTATTTTGCTAAATTCAACAATGTTTTGGTTGAACAAAAATTCTGCCGTTTACGTTTCCGCTATTGCTAGATCTCAAGTAAAGCAAAAAGTTAATTAATATATATAAATGTATAAAACAAAAATATATAAATTAGTTTTAAACTAACGAAAGAATACTTCCAATTTTGAACTCAAGTATAAAGCAAAATACAAACTGTTGGCAGTTGATGAAGGACGCGTGTGTTTTAAAACGTATCTATGAACATTGTTCAGCATAAGCCTAAAAACAATAACTTTTTTTAAATTTAAAAATACACATACACAGACACACACCAAGCAGTTGCCTAAAGTAAAAAAAAAAACAAATAATGAAAATATTAAATAAAACTTGCGCAAAATTTGCAAACCAGCAAAGAACTTTAAATACATAATATTAGCCACAAACAATAAGAGAATATATACAACAAATTCTAAATGACCATAGTTAAGCTTAAATTTAGTAACACTCACATACACTCACACACACATATACACATAATTATTAAAGTAAAGTAAACTGTCGTTGTAGGGGATGATAAGTGTGCGCCATTTTCTAACTACAATAACAAGAGAACAAAATTACTAAAATATTTACCCAATTTTTATTTTTGATAAGTTTTCTTATGAATTTTCTTAAATATTTTACTTTTTTATTGAGAGAGCATTTCATGCAATTGCAATTGATTGTTGCCTTCAAAAAAGAAAGGGAGAAATAATTTTAAAACTTTAATCATTTTTTTTCTTTAAACACACACAAACACAACAAATAAATTAATTTTATAAGGAAGTGAATTATAAAAATTCTATAACGCCGCGTCTTTTTGCATGCAAAATTTTCGATTTTTCGCCCTAGAAATTTCCACATTTGGTGACTTAAAACCTTTGAACCCGATTCAAATTGCAAATATATAAATATAATTAATTTTAACAATTTGTTTAATTCGATAACTGTACTGATTTTATATTGTTTTAAATTTGTAATTTAATTTGTAAGTTTTTATTGTTAATGTGTTTTTTCTATTGTAAACTAAAACTAAACTAAATCTATAAACCAATTGGCAAATTGTTACACAGTCCGTTTAAGTTTACCGATTTCGTCGATTCTAAAATTGAGAATGAAATTTTTACCAAAATTATGTGCCGTTATTTAGAAACCATTTCTTTGGAAGCCTGAAATTTTCCTGCAACCCCACCCACCCCTTAACCTTTACCCCCAACACCTCTAATTGTGTTAAATATTGTAATTTGTAATTTTTGTTTTAATTTTTCGGGAAAGCAAAAACGTTTGGCAAAATTAGTTTTTAATTTGAATATTTAGTTTTGTTTGTGCGCTTAAGTTTTCAATAGTATGTTATATATATTAAACTATGAATATTAATTTTTAGCAAAATATTTTTACGACCTAACATAAATCACTAATGTTAAATACTTAAAGAACTAATTTGTTTAGCTGTTTAATTGGTTTAAAATATTTGTGTATTGTGAAGAGGAGCGCAAGCAAAATTTATCTTTGATCTATTAACAATAACAATAACTGTATACGTGTGTAAATTTCAACCTTCAACAAAAGCAACACAATACTGAAAATAAAATAGAAATAATGTCGAAAGGAATCATGAAAGAAAGCAAAGTGGACAACAAAATTGCAAACTGCGCATGGAAACTGAGCGAAAAAAATGAAAAACTTTACATGAATTGTGATGATGCAAAGGCAAGATTTAATCATAATTACTAAATCTATATATACAATAAATATATATCTTTCTCTATAAATATATATATTTGAGTATATAATGTATATGTAGGCGTAGGAGTGTATAATCTAACTTTACTTTTAAACAGACTGCGTACGTATTAAAAATTTTTAAAATTAATTTGTGTAAAATGTTTTAAGTTTTGAAAAATTGGCAAATAAAGAAAACAATAAAAATTAATAAATCAAAAACATGATCGTATTGTAAATTGAAATATACAAATTATTTCGACCTATTCCAAATTATATTTTCAAACTTTTTCAGCAATCAAAATCTTTTCATGTATATTTCAAGAATCGGCTTAAAGCAAGCGCAACTGTTTATAAAGAAAAATGAAGGACATTGGCAGTGGATGCAAGGATCTGAGACCTTTGGAAAGTTTCCAAGATTGTTTCTTTATTCTTTAATACACAAAATAACATGATTTGTATGAGGACAATATCTGTTTCAAACATACACACACGCTAGGATTAACTTCGCTTAGACCATTCTTGTTTTACTTTTAAATTTATAGTTTGTGTGTGTTTTCTTTGATTTTTTTTTAATTACATATATAACCATTTTATACTTGATTGATTTTTAAAACTCTTTTATAAACTACCTATTGATAAACATCACAAAACATTTGCATACATACCACACGTATGAAAGGGATTCATAAACCGTGAACGTAACGTCGCCAATTATTACGAGATAAAAACAACAAATGGAAATTTAATAATAAAAACAATCAGAATTCATCGTAGAGAAAAGCCGAATGTGAGAAAAATGGGAGAACAACTTTTACGTCTTAATAAACAATTATTGTTAACGAAGAAAATAAAAGTGAGAAAAGAAGCATATTGTACTAAAATATTTGATATACATACATTTGTTATTATTTGTAATACGAAAATTAAATAAAATTGCATCCAGATAATAAAAAATGAAATAAATAAAGAATGCAAAGGTCGTCGTCTGCTCAATCATAGACTAGAAACAAATGAAAAGCCTCCACTTTGGTTTAAAAAACAAATTTTTTATTTTAAATCGCTGAAAGAAGAGGGTATCTAAAAGCATTTGCTGCGGGATGACGACTTGCTCCGGCTCCCGTCGCTCGGTCTTGTGCTGACGCTAGCGGTGGTGATGCCCATATCATCACCCAGCACAGTTTCATCCACGCTGGTATCATCGCCAGGTAATTCCTCATCGCTGTTCGCCTCGCCGGCAAACGAACCCACTGGCGTGATAATAGAGTCTCCGTGAAGATCCCTGTTTATCATATTTCCCATGTGAAAAGCTGAATGGCAGTTGTTGGCAGCCAAAAGTGCTTTCACCCGGAAAACCAACGTCTCAATCGTCTCCCGCAGGCTGGGAATATAGCTGATTATGGCGGTATTCTTAATGGATTTGGAATGGCAGCAGAGTTGGTGCAGGAACCGTGTCACTTTCTGCAATTCGTGCAGAAACCTTGTCAACCTTTCGGGATCATCACGAACAATGGACTCGAGCGCTCTCATGCCGTGTTGAAGCAACAGCTTGAGGAATAACAGGGAGTGCTTTAGAAACAATCCGAAATTCCGAGGCTGTTCCACTAGCTGCACGATGTTAAGCAAGCCATTTAACAAGTCAACAGTGGACTCCCACAGTTTCAGCTTATCTCCATGACTGTCCACGCTGATTTGGCCACTTAAGGAGTGAATTAGCACCTCGCACAGGCCACGAAAGAGCAATGGAAAGTTAGCCCTAAAAATAAATAGTATTAATAAATCATATTGGCTGTCCTGATTTGCTTACTTTTTAAAGTTGGGGAAGGAATTCAGAGCTTTGTCCTTCGTATTTAGGATACTGCATTGTTTAACCAGGTCACTAAGGAGTTCACTTTGACTTTTGCAAGTCGATTTCTTAAGAAAGCCCTTGACCAGCTCGTCCAAATATATATTGCACTGACCGCCTTTATCCAAGGTTCCTGAGTAGTGGAACCATTTGCGGCGCAGCAACTTGCCGCAGAGTGACCCTGAAGGATATATAAATTCTAAAATTGCATTCCAAATTTGATTGTGCATTCTTACGCAAGTCGTCGCCTTGCTGATATCTCGGTTGGCTTGCATCGACTTCCAAGCTTCCTACCGTCAGCAAGCTGCGCAACAATCGATGAAGCTGGACCGCAGTACTAAGGCTTAAAACCGATTTCTCATATTTTAAAAAGTATTCAAAGGTCAGGGTTGCCAACTGTGGAACAGTTTTTTGCTTGTAGCTTTTCCATTGCTCTTTGGGATGCAATTTAAACAAAGACTCTATAAAGAGAAAGAGTATAACCAATTTCGATTTTCATTAAAATAGTAATAGCTTACTGTGCAGAAGTTCAGCCTGCGACTTGTCGCCCCACCCGCTCCAGGCGAAGTACAAAGCAAATAGACGAATGCACAGCCCAAAGCACGTTTTGATGTAGTTAAATTGCTCCTTGAACAGATCCAGATTGCTGTACACATGATTGACTTTCGTAAGCTCATTGTCGATAGCTGTTGCCAGGGTTATAAGGTATTTGTTCACCTCAAGTAGACAGGGAAGTAAATCGCATATGAAATCCTCTGGCTTGGCCAGATGCGGTCTAAAACTGTCCGCGTCAGATGAATCCTGCTGACCGAGGACTGCAGCATCAAGTTTTAAAACCATATCTTCCAACAGGAAACGAAACTCAAGGAGACCCAGAAACTCTCCAACTTGATCCTTCTCTAGCTGGTGGGTCAGGACGAGCTTCTGCTCAACTAACAACATTATGATTTCCACTTCCATGGGCCTGTACTTCTCTCGCGTTCCATACATCTGCTCAAAGTCTATCTTTGTTTTTATGGATTTGCAGGGTCCTACCTTAATCGTAAAATCAGCAATCGTAGTTTGATTACCAGTCAAATCTGGTTCCGTTGCAGTTGCGTTGTGCTTGGCAGCCGCCTTGGCTCCTTGTCGTTTTTGATTCATCGCCGATTGCTTGGCATTGGTGAGAAACTGGTATGGCGGGGCAACAAAGTCCGAGGGCGCTCTAGCCAGGAGCGGCTTAATCCTCTGCTCAATTCGTATCAATTCGCCGAGACGGGAAAGAACCCGACGGCGAGTGGCAGGATCCCGCTGCGATGCGAAGGCACTGATTGACACTCGCATCCAATTGACGGTGTGGAAGTAAATGCATAGAATGTCATTCTGCTGGTCCGTCGCAAAGTTGTCAAAAACGGCCAGATAGTTATCGGCCTCGAAAAACGAGGGTAAGACGATGGCACATCCGAGCAACGCATTGATATTCTCTAAGCTGTCGTGGTGGCGATGTTTATACAATACCCGAACACAGTTGAACAAAGGTGCAAGTACATATATAGAATCGCAAGCTCTGAAAATATAATGTATTTCATTTAGAAATGAATGAAAATCTGAGGTTTCGAGTTGAAAGCCATAGATAAAACTGAACTTACTTGGCTTTGGGTGACAAAACTAGTTTGGATATATTTATGCCAATGCTGAGGACGTCCGACTCAGTGTTTGCATTTGATTCGTCCAATTCATTGATGTTCATTTGATATTCCAGCTTAATGCCCCTTAAAATCAAATACAATTAGTGGAGTTTGTGTTGAATTACCTTCACTTACTTAATTGTCTCTGGAACATCCTCGGTGACGAAGCTAGCCTGAAAGCGGAGAGTCACTAACTCACAAGCCCAGGCAATAAACTGTGAGTCCAAATCACCGATGGAAGTTCCGTCATAGCGTTGATTGAAAACCGTCGCCAGCTCTTCGTAGAATAGAGCCAGGGACTCCGCGCTATTAGCAATGGATGACTCCGTGCGAACTGTGTATTGGGAATTTTAATACATGGTTTGAAGTAAATTTTTGAATTTCAGTTACTGATCAAGTTCGCGGACATTTTGCCACGACCTTCGGGCAAGGAATCCACGTTGTCGACGCTAATTTGGGAATCGTCATGCTCAACTGCATCGTTCTCGATGCGGGCCATTGCGTCGATGAGCTGGACACATCCAATAATGCCCTGCTTTTTTATATTATCAGTTGAATTAATAAGTTGCTTCTTCACCACCATATCGACTTGCTCCTGGAGCTGAAGGCAAGCCGATAGTTTGGGGTCTGGAAAGGCCACATGGCACAGCAGGTCCATGGCTAAACGAGTTTGAGTCAGGGTCAGATCACTGATTCTGTCCAACATCGGAATGAGAAGAGCGGCACAGTTCTGAACATCTTTAGAGCTCTTTCGCTGCAGTTCACGAAGTAATTCCAATGCCATCGTCGTCAAGTGTGGAGAGGATTTGTCACAGGTGAGCTCCAACAGTTTCTTAAGGATATTTTTCTGAATCGAGTCAAAAATCCTAAAAAGTATACTGTAAAGAATTGAAATAACAGTTTAGTAATTTAATTGATGGCATTTTTCGGAGGAGCAATGTTTACCTGTACGAAGACTTGGCGAAATCGGACACAGTGCGGTGTTTTTCACGCATAAAGTCGTGCAGAATGTTCATCAGTGTGTTTATATGCTGCTCCAAGATATGCTTATAGTGCAATTTGACCTCCTCCAAAATGCTCACCGTAATGTGCTCCAGTTTAATGCGACGACGAAGCTAAATCGATGGAATTTAAACAACGAAATTGTATCCAAGCAATTACTTACGATATTTTCAATATACAACGAATTATCTTCATTAACTTTTATTAACAAAAGCAGAATAATAATGTCAAGGGATCTAGAAAAAACAAATATTTACTTTAGTATCGAATTATTTTTTGGTTTCTGAAAACTTACGTAAATCCATCTGCCGGCAAACTACCAGCTGACCTCTGCCACGCCTGATAAAATCTTTTAGATCTTATTAAGCCAAGTTCTAGAAAGCCAAACAGTTCTAGCTGTGACTTTTTGTTGTCGGCTGTGTTCGAGTTTTGGTCCCTATGGCGCCAGTTAAAGATTTCTCGCAAGCTGCATATTAACTGAAATCGAAAGGAAGCTGATCACGATATGCCTTGTAAGAAATGAGGAAAAGTCTTACATCGCGCACACTTTCATCTGTGTCCATTTTCAGAATATTAAGCAGAAGGCGTATAAGGTGGGGCAATGTCTAAAATAAATTAAAAAAAGTTTGAAATCGAATAACTAATGGTTTTTATAAACATACCGTATCGGAACAGGAGCCACTTGTGGCAAACTCCAAAATGCGCAGTCGTAACTTAGCCTGCGTCCTGTCTGAAAGTGATAAATTGCTTAGAGTGTGTACCGTGGTCATATGAAAGAGTTCTTCCGTGCTGGAATAGTTAATGCTGCAACAAAACCAAATAATATTAGATCCTTCTAAATACCAAATTTTTTGGGGTCTTAAACTTTCATTTTAAATAAAAAGGTAGACAATACTTGAATCTCGATGGAACAAGCTTCTTACTCACTTGAGTAGTTCAACGAACTCATCGTGCATACTGGCATCCAGTATCAACTCAGCGTTAGCTATGATGTCCAACTTGGCCGACTTCGTGGCCCTGTTGAAGATACCCTCGATCCGGCTGTAAATCTGTACCTTGTGCGAAACGGTCAAGTAGCGCAGTTGGGTGAGCATCAATGGCAGAAGTGGCATGGGTATGGCCGCCCTGCCCGAAAGAACACGATCCGCAGTGGCCACCTCCTCGATCTTGTTCAGCAGCACATCCACGCAAGGATCCCGCAAAAAGTCGATCATCAGGAAGTTCATGAACATGCTGTTCTGAGACTGATAGATCTGCTCCTCGCCAGCGGCATCCACGGTGCAGCCGATTAGAAGTTTCTGCACTAGTTTAGACTTGGGCGCCATCGCAGCATTCAGACCCGTCTTGAAGGTCTCCAGCTTGTCGGTGTACGACGATGCACTCATGAAAATGTCCCTTAGCTTGGACACAATTGAGACGTGGTCGCATGCCAGTATCAGGCTGTCGCCCTGGTCCAACTGGACCCCGGCGCGGATCAGAACCAGTTCAAAGAAATTGTTGGGCTGCCGGGAGAGGGTCGGAATGGTCCGGCTGGATGACTGGGTGCGACCCAGAGTAGCAGCTAGGATGGCACTGTGCTGCGACAGGAAGCGCTGTGTGTGCTCCTGCGAGGCGGGTATGTTCTCCTCGCTCCCGCCGGATGTGGAATCAAGGGAAACATTCGTGGTGCTCTCCGCCAGGCGCTAAAAAAAAAGCATTCTCAACCGGGTTTCAACTGGAAAATCTAAATCTGTCCACTTACTGGCACTTTCATGGTAGTGTTCTCATCAATTGTGTTAAGAGCCTTCTTCTTACGATTCTTAAAATTAAACATAGTGGACAATTAACTTCACAAATCAACAAAAACAAAACGCAATTAAAACAAAACAAATTCCTGGCGCGTTTAGAACAGTGTGCCCCTATTAAGAGCATTGGCTCTGTTATCGATAGTTTCAATGGTGGAAACAACTATCGAAAGCCGGATATGGGAAACAATCCTTTCAAAAATAAGGAGTCGACTGGTAAACAACATTTTAAAGCTTTTTCGCACAAAATAAGACTGTTGTGGATGTTTTTAATAGCTTGTACGCGAATTAATGTATTATATCCGAGTTTTTCAGAAAAATAACTCTTTAAAGGAACTTTTTCCAACCGAACATTCCTATACCAAGTTTATATTCTTCCAATCCGTTATATTTCCAAAATTATTTAACCCCCAGCAATTGTATACAAATGAATGTGTTTTTTTGGAAATTCAAATTTTTATTCAAACATACTCTACATAATGCGTACAAAACTATTATTGTATTTCTATTTGTATATAACTTTTAATCATATGTGATGAGTATAAAATGTGTAACCATGCATTTTCTTAAATCTAGGATCTGGAAGCTTGTTCCACAAATTGATAATCGTATATGTAATGGAAAAGTCCAACGTAACGCTAAATAAGGTGATTATGAACTTATTTGTAAATTTAAAGCCTTTCGATTTGAATTGTTTAACTTGGGTGCTAACTCTGATAATATCGAATAATTCCTAATATCAATTTTAAACTCTTAAAAGTGCAAAAACTCTATTGTGCTATACATTTTTAAATGTATATAAATATGGTTTATAAAAAGGAAGTACAACATATGTATGTCTTGTAGTGATTATGCCAGAAATTGACTTATTCCAGGACTATCGTGTCCCTTTCGCACCTAGTTCATAGAAAATCACTAATTTGGCGTTGTTTTTAGTATTGCTATTAAGTATATAATGATGAACTTGATGCCATTTATATCACACCAATGCAGTCCAAAGCGGAAAATATGCGATTCCTTCACAATACTATGCTTCTGGAAACTGGTAAGGTTTCCTGCCGTTACTTTTCAGTTTTTTAAACACTTAATTATTGTTTTTTCGCACGTCGTCTCTTATATCCCGTCATCTGCTTAAGAAGCTGCGAGTTTTCATCATCGAGATCCATGTTTGGCTCCCAGAGCCGCAGTCGTTTGGGTATATAGATTAGGCCCAGTAGAGTTATAGCTAGATGGGGTAAAAAAATTAAACTTATTAGTTGAAGCACTTGCTCTTAGGATATTTATTGTTTGACATGTATCTCGGAATTCTAGAAATATATAAATTAATTTTACTCACAATTTAGCACGCAAGGGAAGATCACATAAAAGTTGATGGTGCTGGAGCGAAAGTAGAGCGCCTCGGTGGCGTAGAAGACCATGGTGAGGGCCAAGGAGCAGCCACCCATGCTCACGACCCTTTTATAAAATAAATATATATTTTATTACCAAATTATAAGTTAATTTTGAGGAACACTTACGGCCTATAGTGGATATAGAGGGTACAGTGCACCAGAGCTATAGCCTTGAGCAGACAGTACATGCCGATAATGCGCGATATGGTGTAGTCACCTGCAAATACACCCATGAAATAGGATTCCAGCAGTGTTTGGAAGCACTCACCCTCAATAAACTGGGTGTCACTGTGGTCGCCCAGGAAGCTGCGCCTTTCGATATAGCTACGGAAAGCAGTGCCCAAGTCCATGAAGGCCACAAAGGCTATCCATCCCCGGAAGGCATAGAGGAGCCGTTCGCGGGGTCGTCCGCCAGACTGCATGGCAGCCCTAGAAATCACAAAGATAAATACAACGTCGGTTAATAGTTTTTTTTTATATTATATATTGTATTGTATTGTTATTATTCAGTTGCAGAAAAACATTTTTTTATTTATAGCGATAATAAAAATTAAGAACAATTTAGTTACGAAAAGTTCAAATAAAAGTTCATCAGAAAAAGTCCAGTACATGAAATATTTTTTTAAAAAGTTAATTTTATAAAAAATTTTAAGTTTAATTTTTAAATAAAATCTTTATTTTTATAATTATGTTAGTGCAAATTTTTCACACCTATCAAAAATAATAACGGCACTAACATTAAGCCAAAAATTCCCAATTTATAGCTTCGTCTATCTTTTAAAAAATTCCTTTTTGAAATCTTTAAATTATGTTAATATTAAGATCACGGTGACATATAATAAAGAATAGAAAAATCCCCATTTATAAAATATAATAATGATTCTAAAAGCAAGCTATTACAATTCCCAATGCTGGTTATGATGATATAATGTTAGCTATTTTGGGATTACAAAGCCATTAGAATCAACGTCACTTGCGTGTGCGTAATTAGACCCTTTATTTAAGGGGTTTCATTTCAGCAAGAAGAGGAACTCCAACTGAGCAGTCAAGTAATAGTAATGGCATTCCCAACCGGCTTATCGCCCTCTGCGAATCGCACTCGGAATCCCCTTGCAACCAACCCCATTCCAGAACGCTGGGCAAAATCGATATTTTGGCATACTATGCTGGTGTATTTGCTCAGCGCAAATATTTGTGCAGAGTTAATTCCCGGATGCACGCGACCACGTGGATCGGGGTCCAAATGGAGCTCCTTGCCCGGCCAAGTTGTTTATTTTCAATCGACTTTGCCGGCTAGGTCTCCGAGCAACGCGATTTATGGCCCGGGACCGGCTAGCAGGCGATCCATAATTATTCCCCTGCACTCCATACATAATTTGTGTATTTATTTTCGTGACCATTGACTTACATTTTGCAGCGATTCCCGAGTTACTCAGCAATCCCGAATTCCGTCGCACCCGGCGTATGCGTAATACTTGAATGAGGCACTCTGTAATCCCACGAAACCTATTTTATGCTGCAGCGATTGTTTATTTTATATTGGTTTTATTTTAACCTTTCAACGCGACCAGTATTTGTACCGTCGCCTACAACACCTCGCCGTCCACTGAAAATCTTCAATGAGAATGCCGTGCGAAGGCAGGCAGCTTTTATGCTTTTCAGAGCTTTAAGACTTTTGGGGCTTGTATCGAACAAAAGATACCTGTAGAATTTCGATTTCACTTAAAGAAGCCACATTATATATCTTTTAAAACTTTTGGCTAAACTATTTTTTTTTAATTTTATAGACACAACAATTTTAATTTAGACCTACTTGGGCTTATTGCATTTAAATTCTATATTTTAGGCCAAGATTTTACTTAAAAACAAAAACTAGTTCCATACCTAACAATCAAATAAAAAAAGCAAGAAATTGGAAGAACATGCCTGATATGTTATCAATGATAACCTCGAACCCTAGTTGTTCGAGCAAACGATTGAAAAATGATATTTCTAAATAAAAACATGCAATGCATTTTTCATCATTTATTAAGCAAAGTACAAAAAAGTTAAACAATTCCGATACAAAACCCTTATATGGATGTTCAAGTCAATAATTTGGTGTATATGGAAATCTCACCATATGTCATTGTTCAGAATCGTTTCAATTAGCAAATGTATAAAAAGTTCAACAATTTGTCAAGTTCTATGGCTCTCTTGGGATAAATGTTGGTCTAGTCCTTGCCAATATTCGCCTCAGTCTTGCGATACTCAGCCCAGTCCACATATCCGTCGTTGTTCAGATCCATGGACTTAAGCACATAGTCTATGGTTTCCTCCAGGGCTTTGTCCGTGTAAACTGATCCTTGCTTGTGCTCCTCCGGTTGCTCAGTTTGGCCCTCGGCGTGATCGTGACCCTCGGCTGGTTTCTCACTACTATCTTTGACTGAAAAGGTATTGGGACGTTACAGATTTTTGGTGCTCACTTGCGCTTGATTAAGTTAATAAGCTCACCAGAAACCACTAATTAATGTTTAAGTCTACAATTCTACTTGATAGAGCGATTTGATGTGGTCGGCTTTGATTTGGGTTTGACTTTATTCGCTAAATCGGCTTTACTTACAAAGAGTTGCATGCGTCTATACAATAGGTTTCAGTTTCAAATAGATTTCACATAGACGTGGTATTCTTCGATTTTTTTGCATAGTTTTCATTTTTTTTTTGTACAAAACAAACTTTTACACAATCAGTCTGTTTTTTTGCTGCTCTAAAGTTGCGCTTAAAAATTAGTTCATATCGAAAAATAACTAAAGTAATGACAATGGAAAACAAAACGAAACAAAGCGGCTGAAATTGCACAAACCACTTGAGAGATTCGTGATCAATATTCGAAAAAGGGAATTTTTTAAAAAAGTTCTCTGAAGGCAAATAGGTTACAATTTGTTCAATCAAGTTCTCCGATTGGAATGCTTGCAGCATGTTAAGTAAATTTGATTCGAAATTATCTAAAAAGAAGTGCGCTAAAACCGTAGACGTGGTCGACGTAATTTCAGGATGTTTTGGGCAGAAAACAGGAGTATGTGTTGCGCGTCACAGAACACGGGACGAGGACATGCTAATGTATGCAAACTGAACAGATTCGGGTGACTACTAATGAACCGGCTGCTGCTGTTGCTGCTGTTCCTGCGGTTGCTGCTGTTGCTGCTGCTGCTTCTCGGCGGCCTTTTGCTGCGCCTTGATGAACTCCGGATAGTCGATGTACCCGTCTCGCGAGGTGTCGTCCATCTGCAGAATGGGGTCAATGAGGGCCACCAGTTCCTCGTCGGAGAAGACCTTTTCCTCCACGTGCGGCTTCTCGCCATTCGGCTGCTCCTTGCTGCCTTGCTCTGCATGGCAATGAATTGTTATGGTGGATGCGAAATGGATTAGCATGAGATTCGAGCATGACCACAACCATAACCGGAAACAGCCCAGTTTAATTACGCATATGCAAAGAAGGTAAAATAGGATAGTTGGTCAAACAAAACGAAAACAATAACCACAAATGCAAATCTAACCATTTAGATAAATAAAAAATGGCTATCTTACCGTGCCAGTGAATCAACGACTTGATCAGCTCGCAGCCATCGAGCTTGTTGTTGTTGTCCGAGTCGTGCATCTTGAAGTAGTGGAACTGCAGCTCAGCCTCGGACATCTTGCTCGTATCGATGGGCACCTGCATGTGCTCCTGGATATGACTGGAAGTGAAAGGAAACAGGGTAAGTAAAGGTATACCAGATGGTTAATTACAATGGTTAATTTACAATGATGGTCTTCGGTTTACGAAAAGAGAAATACCGAGTAAAAAGTCCTGCATAAATCAATTGTACATAAGTATGTTTCGATAAGAAATAGTTTGATAAGCTATAGATAGAAAAATAGATAAGCCATATCGTTTATTCGTCGTATTTAATGAATATTTACAAAAAAAATTTAAACAAGAGTTCTTAACCTAAAAGAACTATTTATTATACATTAACGATTTGAAAAGATACTGAAAGAAAATTAAATAATGTTGACATCTCTGAAGATAACAGATATCTTGTTTATATTTTCGATCATTGAAACCTTTTAATACCACTCTGTCAAATTGTTCCAAAAACTATTGACGGAAATATACAACCCATCATTTCGGCGGGTTGTAGGTGTCAATATAGTTAATTAACATTAATATTCGTGCTGTAGATTCAAAGTAGAGCTCAAGTACAGCGGTAGACCTTAATACTACCCCATCACTTTGACTAGACGAGATGTCATTTATGGTTAATTTATGACCTCTCCCTCGAGCAGTGCAAAGCCCCCTCAATAAACTATGATTACCAGTGGCAGTGATAAGATAGACGGTCACTTACGCGCGCTCCTGCTGGATGTTGCCGGTGTTCAAGACCTGCTGCGGTTGCCCGTGGTGGTGGCCACCCGCCTGCTGCTGGTGGTGCACCTGCTGCGGCTGCTGGTGGTGCACTTGTTGCTGCGGTGGTTGCTGTTGCTGAATTGGTTGCTGCTGCTGCTGCACAGGAACTTGCTGATATTGGACCGGCTGCTGCTGCTGCACGGGCACGGGCACCTGCTCATATTGCTAAAGATTTGAGTAGTTCGCGTTAGTCACCAGGAATCAAAGAATATGTTTCCCACTCACATATTGCTGGGGCGGCACGCCGGGCACCGAGTGGACCTGTTGCTGGTACTGCGGCTGGTGGTGCTGCACCGGCGGCGGTGGGTGGTGCTGTGGCACCTGCTGCGGCACCTGCTGCTGTCATATAATTGGGTTAATATGGTCTGTTGTGTCAATTAAGTCCAACTACTCACATAGTGCTGCGGATTCACGCCGGGAGCGACGCGCTGGCCGCTCGCCATGCCAATCAGGATAAAGGGCAGCAGGAGGGCTGCCCGCAGTTCCGGGACGCGCATCTGCATGGAAGTGCTGGATTCTGGCGGGGATCGGTTCGGTTCGGGATCGGTTTTGGTGGCTCTGTAATCACCACGTCGCAAAGACAAAACACACACGTACACAAATCGCTGCTTCTTCACCGCTGGCCATTCACAGCGGGCGACAGCTGTTGCACAGGTAACTGCGGATATTCGCCATGAAGCGCGTGAATCAAACGGTCACACTGAGCAATTGGATCGAGTCCCTGCTAAGTTTATATCTAGGGTATTCAAATTAGTGTTTAATTTATATTTAAAAGGCTCTTGTTAATAACTAACTAGCAACTAAGGCCATAAGTAACTATAGCCATTTAAATTTAGAAATTTATTATTATTATTATTAGAGAATCCTTGTATCTTAACCCTCCTGTGCACGGCACAACATCGATATCACAGATATTTTAAAAACATCGATAACACCGATGTTGGCATCGATGTTTCTCCACATCAACACTCCTCTTCGGTTTCATCATGTGGCAACACCGCCTAGCATTAACCCTCCTCTTCGTTTTCAACCAGCAAATCGACTGGTTCAGCGCTGCTCAAAATACAAAGATTTGAATATCTCGACCAGGGAAATTGCTAAATAATGGTAAATTTTCAGTTCCCAAGGCACTTCCATCTACTATTAGTTTTTGGCAGCCGCTAAAATTGTTATTGCGCCAAGAAAACACGGTACACGTGTGATGGGCACTCAACATAACCCCACTTAACACATGTTTCCACCGCATCCGCAGGCTGCTGCACCCAAGGATATTGAGAAGCCCCATGGCGGCGATTCTGCCTCTGTGCACCGCATCCGCATCACCCTGACCTCCAGGAACGTGCGCTCGCTGGAGAACGTGTGCCGTGACCTGATCAACGGTGCCAAGAACCAGAACCTGCGCGTCAAGGTGAGGAGTCACATCCACAAAGATTATCCTGAAGTCGCATTTACCTGGAGGCTTTGCCTGTCCGCCAGACGCTTAGCCTAGTCATTAATAAATGCCAGATAAAATGCCTGAATCGGACATTATTTTCGCGCCTATTTCTTCGGTGCTAGAATATCACATGGTTCAGGCTACAATATATCTTAATACAAGTGAATCCCTTACTAATCCCTCTATTTTTCCACTCTTTCAGGGCCCCGTGCGCATGCCGACCAAGACCCTGCGCATCACCACCCGTAAGACTCCTTGTGGTGAGGGTTCCAAGACCTGGGATCGCTTCCAGGTGGGTTTAACTATATATGACAATACCACCATCTATCATCCATGGGCAGATCTGATATCGTGGCTTGGACACACAACCAGTCATTCCACAGTATCTATGATTTGCCCAGAATAAACGTCTTCTCATAGTCCACTTTGTTATTCCTCACAATTTGGCTCCATGAACACGACAAATTAATTAATATTGATTCACTTTGTGCACAGAAAAGCTATTGCAGATTGATATACATTTTTTCAACTTAACTTTAATAATGAATTTATATTAATATGTTCACTTTTCACTTAATAATTGAGCAATTTTATTTTCTATGCACATTTTTCTTTACTTCTTGAGACTTACGTCTAACCTTTGCTACTCTCCTTGTTTTCAGATGAGAATCCACAAGCGCATCATCGACTTGCACTCTCCCTCTGAGATCGTCAAGAAGATCACCTCGATCAACATCGAGCCCGGCGTAGAGGTTGAGGTCACCATCGCCAACTAAGATCGGCAGATGCCACTTTTTTACACCTCCAAAAGTTTGGCGTACAAATAAAAACCAAGAACTTTTCCAAAACGTCATGCATAGCCGGCTTTATTGTGCAAAATCCTTTGGGGTACTATTTTACTGGAATGTTTTATAGTGTAATGAAATGTTTTTAAATAGGCAGTCTAATAGTAATCTGGAACTGGGGCGCAGGCAATCTTGACAAAGTCAGCATATCGCACAGTGCTATTGTTGTTCACATTGGCCTCCCGGAAGATGTTGTCAACCTCGCGCATGGACAGGCCCTCTCCCCAGTTCTGGAGGAGATTGCGCAGCTGCCTGGCCGAGATGGTGCCCTTATTCTGAGGATCAGCTGCCTTGAAAGCGGCAATCACCTCATCCGGCAGACTCTCCACCTTGGAGTGCTGATGCATTATGTCCAGAAAGTCGGCAAAGCTCATTTTGCCATTCTTCTGCTTTAGATACGAAACCAGTTCTTGGATCGTCGGCGAAAGACCCAGGGAACGCATAATAACCTGGTGACATGACAAAAATGTGTACCATAAGAACGTATATTTTGTTGGGGTGAGAAAGCCACTTACAGTTAGTTCGTCCAAATTGTTGATTTGGCCCGAACGAGCGAACAGATAAAAACACTCACGGAACTCTGGGGGTTAAAGATAAGAAATGTTTTTAGAATGAAATCATCAATGAGTCGGGGGCACAATTACCATCAATATCCTGTTCTTTGAAATAACGAGCCTGAAAATAAAGTAAAGAAAATTATATAGAAAGTTGCATAAATACAAATGGTTAATGAGGGCAGTCGACTGGAAAGTGCAGTTATGAGAAAAGAAAGCACTCTCCTGTTTCAAAGTATTGCTCAAACTATATCTTACCATATCTAAGGACTTCTAATTACACTTTCACTAAATAAAACAACAATAAATAATTTAAGTAAACAAGAGGAAATAAATAAATTAAACGAAACGAAAAACAACAGGTTGCTCTTCAGTGTGACCAGAAATCGGTGTGAACAGTTGATAGCTAACATAAAAAACCACATTATTTCCCAAAAGTATGATTCGCCCTCGAATTCAAATTTTCAGTTTTGACTCAAAACATTTTACTTGTTCTGTTTTAAATTAAAATAAATAATTTAGAATAAAAATAAAACAAAGTATATATATTATTGATCAGCATCACGAGGCGAGTTGATCTAGCCATGTCCGTCTGTCATATGCACACTTTCGAAAATTGCTTTGCAGAAAAGTGTCCAAAAACTTTACTTCTAAGCTCATAACTTATCTTACAGACATCCGATTTCAAAGTGGCAAACTTCTTAATGACTCTGGTCTAAATCTCTAAAAATCTGTGTAGAAATCTTGCTTTGTATTTTTGGGTACATTTTTCGTCATTTTTATGTAGTAACCCCTTTCAAAATAACTTTTCTTACAGACATCCGATTTCAAAGTGGCATACTTTTAAATGATTGTGGTTTAATTCTGTAAAAATCTGTGTTTTTAACTTGGTTTGTATTTTGGGGTCGATTTTTTCATATTTTTACAGTGTTAGCCCTTTCCAAATTTTTGAAAAATGGCTTTGCAGAAAAGTTACCTAAAACCTGCACTTCTCAGCTCATAACTTTTCTCAAAGAAATCCGATTTCAAAGTGGGACACTTCTAAATGATTATGGTTTAATTCTCTAAAAATCTGTGTTTTCAACTTGGTTTGTATTTTGGGGTCGATTTTTCGTAATTTAATGCTGTTGTTTTCCAAATGTTCGAAAAATGGCTTTAGAAATGTATCAAAAAACTACACTTGTAAGCCCATAGTTTTTCTTAAAGGCATCCGATTTCAAAGTGGCATATTTCTAAATGATCGTGGTTGGATTCTCCAAAAATCTGTGGTAAAATTATGATATGTATTATTGGTTCGAGTTTTTGTAATTTTTTATGATGTAATAATAAAAGTAGAACTTTGTTGTTTCTTAACATATACTATATACTCCGAGATATATTTATTTTTAAAGATTTCAGCTAGAAATGTATATAAGCTTTTTTATAAGTTTGCTTTATTGTTTATACTGATAAGACTTTTTCTTTCTTGGGTCGAAGAAAGTGATGATTTCCACTTGGTAAGCTTTCAAAAAAATGTTCATCAACCATAAGAAACCACAGTTTTGATAACAATGTACAATTTTAGCTCCATCCCAAATAAAACTCGGTTTTTGGTTAGACTTTAAAATGTATTTACCTTGCGACACAATTACACAAGTCAGAGCACACTGTTGTATTTAAATATTAAAACAACATCATTTAGTTATTGTACAATAAAAAATATCTGCTTCCCTTTGCATACAAAAAATCTGAAACTGCACCTGATGATCTTAAAAACTAAGTACGTCCTCATCAAACAAGAAGTTATAGTAAATATATGCGTGCGAGCCCCGGACGGCACCGCTTCAAAATGATTTTGTGAACATCAAAACTAAGAAATATAACTTAAAGAAGCAATAAGCTAATAATTTGTGTCCAAATATTGTAGATAGTCGAAATATTAGTTGTATTTGTGGGGTTAGGGCTGTAGTTGTGGTTGGGTAGTTTAAGCGCCGTCTCTGGCTAATGGGCTCCAAAGCGTTTCCGTCTCATATACACAAACTGGTAGGCATAAGTACGTCGGCACACTTTTTGGCTGGTTAATGCACATTGATGATGGACTCACGGCCCTTTCCGACGCCCACCCAGCGCACGGGCACGCTCAGCTCGCTCTCGAGGAACCGCACATAGCTCTGGGCATTTTCCGGCAGTTCCTTGAAGTTGCGTATGTGCTCGGTGGATGTCTGCCAGCCTGGCAGCACGGCGTACTCCACCTCAATCCCTCCCAGCTCGGCAATGGTGCCCGGGAAGTGGTCGAGCTTCTCGCCGTTGGGCTTCTTGTAGGCCACGGCCACCTTGATCTCCGGCAGCGTGTCGAGAATGTCCAGCTTGGTCAGACAGATGCAAGTGTAGCCGTTGACCAACGAGGTGTACTTCAACAGCGGTATGTCCAACCAGCCGCAGCGGCGCTTGCGTTTGGTGGTGACCCCGATCTCGAAGCCGCGCGTCTGCAGCAGGTCGCCAATATCCTGTATAACAAAAGGAGACCATAAGCTAAATAGTCCACTGTGAAATTACCAAGCTACCACTCACATTAAGCTGCTCGGTGGGGAAGGGACCATCGCCCACTCGTGTCGTATAGGCCTTGACCACGCCAATCACCTCGCCAATCGTCTGCGGGGGCAGACCCAGTCCCGTGAGAACACCGCCAATGCTGCAGTTGCTGCTCGTCACATAAGGATACGTGCCGAAGTCAATGTCCAGCATGGCCGCGTTGGCTCCCTCGACCAGGATCGTCTTGCCGTTGCGCAGGGCGGTGTGCAGGAAGCAAATGGTGTCCTTGACATAGGGACGTACCTTATCGGCGTAATCCTTGTAGCGGGCAAGCTCCGCCTCCACGTCCACGTTAATCGATGGGAACAGGCGCACATGGGTGGCCACAATCGACTTGAACCTAATGGTGGGTCAAAGAGGGCGGTTAGAATCGAAGTTCCCCGAATTCCTCGGGCACTACTCCTCTCACTTGTCGCTAAACAGGTTGAAGTCGCCGAGCAGCTCGCCTACTCGGATGCCGTTGCGGGTGGCCTTGCTGGAGTAGGCCGGGCCAATACCCTTCTTGGTGGTTCCGAGCGACTTGCCGCCCTTCTCGGCCTCCTGCATGCCATCCACATGCTGGTGGAAATCGAACACAAGGTGGGCACGGTCCGAGATGATCAAGCGGTTCTCCAGATGCTGCAGTCCCTTGGCCTCGTTCTTCAGCACCTCGTCGAACAGCGAGGGCAGGTGGATAACAACGCCGTTGCCTGTAAATGTCAAGCCAAAAGTTATAGTATTCGTTCTTAATCTGGGGGATTTCCCCATCTGCACAGTCCGCCTTTTAAATAAGTAATAAATAACCAGCAAACTGCAGTTGGCAGTCATGTGGTTGCAACTGCAGTGTGACTAACGGTTAGGGAAATTGGGTTTTATGGCTTTTGCGTCGTTTACAACTCATTTCAAATTTGATTCATGTTGAAAACGGGTGAAAACTCATTTAAACAAGTGTTTTTAAATGTTTATTTTAAGAAAGTATTGTGTAAGGAACTTAAGTCTACAAAAAATTTTAAGATAACTTTACTTGTATATACCTCACAGTACATTGTTTGCCTAATCCCCTTTAAGGCTAATATGAAGACTTTAAATGCATTATCAAGATCTTAAGTACCTTAGCATTTTTTGCGTTGCGTTTAAAAGCTTGTGTAATACTTTTTGTTTAATCGGCTAGAAATATTGTTCAATACATGGACTTTCTTTGGGGCCCCTATAAAAAGTAATCATGATAAGGTGTACTCTGTTTATCTTTAATGTCACATAACAGCTCCTAAGCAAATTGAGAGATTTCTGAGCTTTAAAAGGTTGCTATCTATATCGGGGACTGACTTTGTTGCACAATAAACAGACTCGTTGACGAAATGGAGAGTCCATGGAAGCAATTTTGAAATCATAATACCAGGGCACGCGAGCCGGCTCAACGAACGGGGTCGTTTTGAATTGAGTTCTGAGCGGCTAGGAAATTAAAAATAATAAGTTAATTGCCTGATTAGAATAATTTTCCGCTACATGTAAGCATGAGTGTGTTTGTGACTGTCTGCCATAAATGATATCAAAAAGGCAAAAGCTCTCGGGGAATTTTTTATGGGGTTCGCCCAGTTGGTGCGGTTCTGACTATCTCATAAATTAGTCTTGTGACAAACGATGACAGTACGGATTGGGTTGTTGCTCTTGGCAAACAATGTCACCCAAAACCACACACCCCACATGCAACATCGATTAAACTTTGATGCCGGTGAGCAGGACAAAGTTGCGAAAATATTGACAACAAACGACCTTGGTGGTGACAGTCAGTGACGTCACTCTGGCACTGGCTGGCACAAAGGTAATATTTATTTTCCCGACTCTGATTTAATTATCTCAATTGCTTATCTACAGAAATAGAAAAACCTTTCATTTTCATGGGCATGCGGCGCAGCAAAGTCGAAAAACAGACCGACTGACCCGCAAGCCAATGTCAATGATGCACTAAATCTTGCCAGAAATTCTTTGCCTACATCTGCCTTTGTATAAATCGAAATATAAGCACATATAGCTTAATGCATATATGTTTGCTCGATACGTTCAATTTCGGTTTGCATCAGAGCGAGTGAAAACTAAAAGCAAAACAAACCGACCACAGACCGTATATTTACGTCCTATACTGTATGCGAAAATTCTGTATAAATATATATTTTTAAGTTTCAAATGAAGAAAACAAAAGTTGAATGGCGTAAAGTAAAGGAATCACTTAATTTCATTGACAACTTTTTATCTCTATTTGTGTTTTTTACCGAAACTAGCATTTTCCTTGGTCATATTGGCATTGATTCTTGCAGATCCTGACTATACACAATGTTCCTTATTCATATTATAATGAATTCATAAAAACCAAAGTAAAATGTCGCTTGCATACTTTCATTGACAACTTTAAAGACCCAAAATTCTTCCTGACTATGTTGCCAAAACTTTATCATATTTCACTGAGCTTGGCACATCTTATCCCATTCCAAGTTATTAACTTACCGATGACGGAAACGCACTTCTCGTTTACAACACCACTGGGCAGCAGATGAAAGTCGAACTCCGTGCCATTGGCCACCACAGTGTGTCCAGCATTATTGCCGCCCTGCCAAGAAAAAAGATTGAAAATTAGGCACAAAGTTTCCTAGGTATACAAAATAGATATATGTAGATGTTGATATACAAAATTAGCATCATTTGTTTTGCTTTCGCATGTTCTGCGGCGGAGAGGAAAAACAAAGCTTGTGTGAAAAATAAATAAATAATATAGGTATACTTTGCAAATTGAATAACACAGAGCCCATCGAACGGGGAATACGTATTTGTCCCACGTGCCCCCACAAATATCAAATGACAATAAACGAGAACGAAAACGTTCCACTACTCATACAGATATACACACATAGATAACTATGAGTATCTCACGTAAGCACTTGATAAATTTAATGTGTTTTTCCTTTTCATTTTGGCAACTGTACAAATTTTTTCTACATTTTGCTAATCTAACAAAATTTCTTTTCTATGTACATATATTAATATACTGTAAGGTGAATACAACAAAATGATTAGCGGGAGAGGAAGAGTGGAAATTCTGGAACCTTCACAAATCATTGCTAAAAACCAAAAACAAGATAATCAAAATGTTTACGCGGTGCCAAGGAGAGGGCTTATAGCCGTAGCCCGGGTCTATGATAAGATACGGGGAAATGGAATGGCAAGATCGCAATAAAAAGTGCCGGTTCCAGTTCCCGTCCGTGGCCTTTCGCGACGCAATATGCGGAATTCAGAATACTTAATACATTATATTGTCGTAATCGGAATCACCGTAGGGGCGTGTCAGTCGTGTGACTCAGACGTCGGGTGCGATAATCAACTGGGGATGATATTATATAAGGGCACCTGATAAGACCTCTTCGATTCCGCTGAGCCACTATGATGGTTAGAGAGTGCTCTCCGCGGCATATCGTCCATTGAACTGCGTAGATAGTTCTGGGAAATCAACAAGTTGGTGGGCATAAACAATCCATTTATAACACGCAAAGCCCTATTTGTATAGCCTGCCAGTTCTGCAAATACAGCTCGACGGGAAGCCAATGATTCTGCAGAGGTTGCATTTTAGGGGTCCCAGTAGTTCTACGAGTCTCCAAGTTTCTGGTGAATGATGTTGGCGGTTATGTAAACCTGGTGGTCCGCTAAGCAAGCAACACAGATGTGTGGAAACGAGATGGGGATAGGAATTAACGTCAGCGGAGGAGAGAGTGAGATAGCGACTGAGAGTGGGAGAGAGACGGCCAGCACCAGTGACGAATTTTGCTGCGCCAGCATTGTTGGCAGACTTGCTGACGGAATAATAGTGCTGTTAGTTACCGATTGCCAGATATAAAAAGCTAAACTTCCCAGTGGGACTTAAAACTAAAAGGCTAATAAGTCATTTACACGGAAACGTAACTTTTGTGCAAACGAAACTGGTTAGCGTAAAGGAACTAAAATGTTGATATTTATGGATTACAATTTCTGTAAAGATGAGTAAGTTGGTATACAAACCGTTTACAAATTCAAGTTGTTTTCCAACTATAATTAGGTGTAAGCACTTCAGCGTGGAATTTTATTTAAAGTAAATATTTAAAACAATCTTTTAAATATTCACTATAATTAAAATGTATTTTTGTATTATACAAAATTGTAAACAGTCCAGAATAATAAGTACGGAACTCAAAAATATTTAAAGCCCTCAGATAATCTTTTGGGAAGTTTGAGCCCGGCTTACTGCACCTGCTGCTCTAGCTAGTTCCTGACCTTCGAAACAAGCCAGATTTGGCGTGAAAAGCTAGAGCTATGCCATCGCTGCGGCATACACACCAACACATGTGGGCGCAAGGGGAAACACGGGCGGACAGGCGCACACATGCGCCTCGCGGCACAAACACTTGGACAAACAGGCTCACGGACAGACACGTACACGGCGCACACACAGCCACAGCCACATGGCGGGCACAGAATTGATAAATACAAATGGGAAAGCATGCGGCGGCCGAAAAGAGCGATAATGTATAGTTCGAAAAAAGTGGCTCATCTGGTGAAATACGCAGATGCTAAGTGGCTCTGGGCTGGGGTGTCCTTGGGCAAGGATAACGCCCGTTATCAGTGCCTGGGTTCAGGGGATACCTTTTCTCATCTACCCACTGTTGGTTAGGCTGTATTCCTTACCTGACACCTGCACACGATGTCCACATCGGAGGCCAGCATGTCCACCACTTTTCCCTTGCCCTCGTCGCCCCACTGGGCGCCCAGGACGACGTCCACCTTGGACTTGTACATCTTGGTGCGTCCTTGGTGCAGCTGCTCGTAATGAGTGCCGTTGGTGGCGCTGGTCGCTGACATTTCCCCGGAACGGAACAGAACGGATCACGGATCTCGGGCACTCGGAAGTCTTTCGCGAACACGTTGTGATTATTCTCTGCTGGCTGCGCTCCACCAGCGTTTGGCTATAAAACAAACAGAGGGCGGTCTGGCGCGGCCGTACGGTCCTACTGCGCGGGAGATTTACTCCCGCCATAGAAGAGGGTAACATTAAACGCGGCGCGTGGGTGGACGCAGTACGGTCATATTTAACGCTTTGATCCCTGTAAGGATCTTTTCAATTGTCGTTATTTTAAAATTGTATTTGCTTTAGAGGGCTTATTGCTATCATCGAATTTTTGCACGTTTTAAATTGTTACTGATTGTCCGAAAGCTGCAATTAGTGTGCAGATATAAAAACTGTTAAGATGTTTTTCCAAATTAGTTCAGATCTTTAGTTTAAATGGATAATACAACAGCTTGATTTTATGTACCAGAAATAATTAAATAAATTTTCTTAAACCCAAAGGGTATACAATTTTTTTAAAAAGCCGTTTCTTAGAGTGCTCGCATTTGCAAAACTTTACGGCAATACTAAAATCTAATTTGATTACGACCACACTTCAAAAATCAGCTGTTTGCTACCGCATTATTTTGTTTATTTATTAACCATGTCGGAAGCAGAGGAAAAGTGTCACTTGTAAATATTTGGTGAAATAATAAAATAATACAATAACTTTAAAAACATTTTATTTCCCGCAGCTGTAGGGCAGTGCAATTCAAGTACTCCTGCCCCAAGTGCAATGCCCTTTATTGCAGTGTGGGATGCTACAAATCCAAGGAGCACCTCAAATGTTCAGAAGAGTTCTACAAATCCTGCATTCAGGACGAGCTATCTGGAGCCACTGTAACGCAAGAAAGCCAGGAGGACGTCCGAAAAATATATGACATATTGAAAAGGATGCGGGAAACGGACGGCGGCTTCAATCCCCAGGACTTTGATACAGATGGATTGGAAAATCCTTTGGACTCAGATGGAGGCGATGAAGCAGAACTAGGAGAAGATGAGGGAGAAGAAGATCCCGCAGGAGAAGATCCACTCGAAGAAGACTTCGAAGAAGACATTGCAGCTCGTCTTAAAGGTGTTGATATCAACGATGCTGATGAAGTATGGAGCCGGCTAACCATGGAAGAGCAAGAAGAGTTCCAGAAACTGATCACCAACGGCGACATCATGAAGCTTATGCCAGACTACAAGCCGTGGTGGAACAAGCCGAAGAACTCTAAGATTGTGGTTATTCCCACTCCCGAAGAGACTGCAAAAACAGACAGCTCTGTGCCCGAAATATACGGAAATATTGCCAAATTCTCGGATATATGCAAGAAGACGCCTTCGCCCTGCCTGCACTACAACCTGTGGAACATCCTAAGCGCCTACGCCTGTGTGGCTCGCTTTTTTGGCGGAGAACAGCGAACCAATGCCAGCGAAGCGGTGGCCCATCTGGTGAATCTCAGCGCCACCTTGAAGTACGGCACCAACTTTGAGGATGCTGAGGACGCCATTGTCTCTGTAGAGATGGAAGCCATCACAACGGGCAACGGTCCTGCCGGTGCAGCTGCTGTGGGAAGTGCCGCAACAGGAACCAATTTCCTGGTGGAAAGCAGGGAGCAACTGCAGCAGGATGCCCGGCAGTTGATGGCTACAAGGGACCACAAATTGGCCGCCTTAAGTGATGTGCTAAACCTCCTGCAACAGACCAAGGCAATGAGTCGGCGGAAGAATCCCCAGGAAGCCGAGTTCCAGAAACTGTTCGCCCTGGCCAGCGGAAGTGTGGAACTTGATCGCACAAAAGTCTCCCAGCTGGTGCGGAAGATCGAGTTCATGCTGTCGTATGTGAAGCGGGAAGAGGACCTGTGAGATTTCAGTCACAAAATATAAATTCCGTTTTCGAATTCCAAATTGTGTTTTTCTACATGGGTTTTACTGTCCTTAAAGATGGAAGCGATTATCGACCCTTTAACTCTTCTACTGCAGCCGCTTTTGCATCTTTTCGTAAGTAATAACCTGGTTTATATTATTGTCTTTAACCTTTTTACCACTGCTCAAATATTGAATAGAGTTTTCAATGAGTTTTTACGATTGACGTTGAATTCAATTTTTGGAACAATTTTAATCCTATGTGCACATTTAAAAAAATAAAGAAATAGGGTCACCCTAAATTTGTAATGAACTTTTTGTCTCTACTAAAACGAATAAGGTATTAGTTATATTGTTCATATAATTCGAAATAAAATAATTAATAAATTATTAAAAAAAACAGCCTATTAAAAATGAATTCATAAATTAAATTTAATACTGGTTCTTAGTGAAAAGTATTTTCGTAAGCCGCATGGTATATTATAACGGTCGCGACACGGTCACACCATACATAGTTTTTTAGTTGGCGATTCCAGACACACACTCGAGTTGTAGTGCTTTTTTACGCTATTTTGTTATTTGGTAGGTGGTCGCTCTGCTCCGGAAATAGCAAACTGACAAAAAACATTAAGCCAATGATTACTTAATTGTGGTTTTAAATGCAAGGCAGCAGTTGCAGCAACAACAACACAAGCGATCGCAATTTAGAACATTTCGTGCAAACGCGTTTTGGGTGTAGCGGAATTTCACCTATGTGTGTGTGTGTGTACCCCGAGTCTATGTGTGTGTGCGTGTCGGTGTGCGTCTGGCAACAACAGAAAATCCAATCGGCCAGCAAGTGCTCTTTCGTACACTTCTCCCAATAAAAATTATAATCGTAGCACCCGTATTAATCGTAGCACCTAAATATCTTATGTAAGGTGCCTGGAAAAACTATGCAAATATTTACAGAAAACGGCAGAGACACAAGTTCAATCTCAAAGATAAACGAGTTTATTTGAGAAAGGGGGTGGAGGTGGGGGCCACCTTATCGCCCAAGTGTGCGACGTGTTAGCTAAGGTGTGCTTGTGTGTGTGTGTGAGTGCCGTAAAGTTGCTTATCTATCTCCACAAATATGCGAAGTATGCGTCAACCTGTTTGTAAACTTTCTGTTGGCCATTTCTACTCACGAAAATCGCAAAGATCCGCGAGATCTAAGTGGCTATATGACTGCAGCCGCATTATATTTATATTTATAGCGATGAGAAAAACCAGTAAGCGCACCGTTTATGCCGATGACGCCCAAACCAATTCAATGCCAGATTTAAAACCGACAAGTCGTCATCAATCTCGTAGTGTCTTTGTGTGTGCGGTGATTAAATTCCAGCGACGGTTATTATCTATATATAACCGGTCAATGTCTGATGATAACATAACCGTTATTCACCATACGGGTGTGTGAGTGGAACTTAAACCGCCTGCATTGTTTACAAACAGCTGATGCAGGGAAACTCCTCTGATAAGATACCAAGTTTTCCCACCGGAAGGTTTAAAAATATACATACAATACCTTACAGAGAAAGAAACATTTTTATAAAACGGTGACCAATATTTTTGGAACATTTTATTTGAACATTAAAATATGAAAAATTCATTGTTTACAAACAATTGTTTGGCTTGCAGAAAAGGTCATATGATAAGATACCGAAGGTTTACCAAATTAATCAAAATTAGTTTACGAAATACCTCTATTTACATTTAAAAATGTTATCTAGATCAATGGTTTTTTTTTTCATGTGTATAAGAATAAGTTTTGCAATGAGTCAGGAGTGATAAATACAAACTTTATCAATTGGGACACTCGTCAAAAACCGGTCGTTGATAAAGCTCCGATAATTAAAGTTCTACCTGTTGCACCAAGGCCCAGGAATTTCTTAATCGAAACAAATTAGGAAAACAATTAATTTACCAACCGCATGGGTATAGTATATTGTTTAGCTAACGATTTGTTTGGCCAAGATAAACACTACAAAAATACAAGTTTGCGTATTATAAACAAAGAGCTCTGTTGTTGCCGCTACTGCTGTGAGTGGAAGTTGTTTATGGCGGCATCCTCTATTTACGTAACCGAAACTCATATTTTATGATTATTGCGCTTAAGCCCCTCGCACATGATTGATTAATATTGATTGTAACACACAGGAAATGTCCCACCATAGCGATGATCAGCTCCTGCAGGCTGGAAGCGATTCCTTCTGGGAGCCTGGCAATTATAAACGCACCACCAAGCGTATCGAAGATGGTTCCAAGTGAGTCGATAATCCCCAGGGAGTCCCAATGCACAGAGAAAATCCGTGTGTCAGTTATGTCATTCGAAAATCAAATCATTTAAAAACCTATTGGTCACTGCTTGTTACTTCGTTTTTATAACCGTTTAATGAATACGAATTGTTTGTTTTTAACTATTTAGTAACATTTGCATTTGGTAACGTTGTACGTCTTGCAATCAAAATTCAGATCAGGAATAAATAAAAATTGAACAACTGAAAGAGTTTATTTAGTAATGATTTTTGGTATATGTGATCAATTTTTTGGTTCAGTTATTTCTACATATGTATATGCTGAGCAAATTGATTGTTTTTTCTCTGTGCATAAGCACTTGGCCCGCTGGGTCATTGCCAGCAGAATCCATCTGAACCCGAACCCAAATACAAACTCAAACCGGTTTGCATTATTATGATTTTGTCTCATTTCGCACGCAGACTCTGCAATGACCTACAGCAACTGATTCAGGAGCGTGCCGACATCGAGAAGGGATATGCGAAAAGCTTGCGCGCCTGGTCAAAGAAATGGACTGAGCTCATTGAGAAAGGTGAGTAAAAGGCGGGTGGGAGTGTGGGTGGCGGTATGAGACATCATTTGTCATGTAAGCCTGCTATTTGTTAACACATTCATTCATTCGCGAGCTTGAAGACCAGCGGAGCATCAAGTGACCCGCTCACGTTGAATTCCCACCACTTATTTGGCCCACTGGCTGTTCTTATTTTCTACATTCTGTACATCATTCTGAGCATTGTTGTTGCCGTTGTGCGATAAGTGGCTTAAGCTATTAATGGCTTTTTTTTACGTTTTTTCGTTACCTCGTTTTTGTCGGTTGTAGTCTGTAAAAGCTTGGCACTGTGGTTAAAAACTGGCAGTCCAATTTATTAAAATATGCTAATGAGCAGGGAGAGCACAATGTTTAGATTAACTAACATAAACATTTGTTTGAACGCACACTTTGTTTTCAAACTAAAATTTGGCGAGGAAGTGCCAAAAGTTATATCTACAAAGAGATACTTTAGAAATTATAAAGATAACCAAACAAACAATTTTCTTAGGACTTAATATAATTGCTAAGAAATTGTTTTATTTGTTTCATTTTGAAAACTAAAAAGACTGTAATAAAGCCTTAAAAGTTATTTATAGATCTTATAATATTCTTAGTTATCAAATTTGACCCAAAGTCCCATAAAAGTTTATACCTACTTGGCATAATTTTGATAACAAAACTATTTTAGAACATTTTGTGCCTTTTGTTTTGGGCTTGGTTTCGTTAGTTTTGTTGGCGCCTAATTGTGGTAATGGCCGATGGTTATAGTCCATTCCTATTCCTTATTCACGGAACTGGGTCTCTGACCATTTTTGGCGGATGTCCGGCACAGTGTGCGCGCTTCTTCGTGAAATGAAATCGAGTACAGCGCTTGCAAAGTTGGAAACCGCTTTGCCTCATTGCTGCTGCTGTTTCTATTGCTGCTATTTTCTGTGACCGCCTCTGCACGGAATTCTTAGTGTCCACTTTCACAGTAACCAGCAATGGGCAATTGCAAAAGCGACTACCACTTCCTCCGCCTTCTCTTTGTATTTTCTTAGCTGGCCAGCGAAATTGTGCGGAATTTGCCTAGCTGCGTCTGGCTAAAGATACAGATACGAATACAGAAAAAGATATTCTCGTAGATACAGATACGCAGATACGGAGACCGAGAGGCAGAAGCGCTGGCCAGTGGCCCATTGCCCGGCACCAAACCGGCACCAAAGCGTCGCTTGAAATGGTTTCAAAAATCAATGCGACGGGAAAATAGAACGAGTTATTTCTGTGCTAAGCGTCTCAATTTCTATATATCTTTGTCTGTGTGCCAACACGGGGGAATTGGGGATAGTGAGTCGTTAGGCAAACGAGTTCCGTGCACTGCCAATTATAAGACGAGCATCATATTAATTTGATTGCGGTGTGCTAGCGCCCGACAAAAAATGCCAAAAATGTGCGATGTTCCTCGATCGCAGCACCCATACAAGTGCTCGTTCCTTAAGCATATTATATTTTCCATACCTATAGCTACAGCTATATCTTGCGGCTGTGGCTGATTAGATAAACCAAGTGCCCGAGGGGCCTACGATGACGTCAGCGGCAGACAGCTCGACTTGGCGACACGCTTGTAATCTGTTGTTAATTGAGAATCGCTATAAGAGATATATAACCCATGCTTGATTTGTTCCAGGGCCGGAGTACGGGACCACAGAGGCGGCCTGGAAGGGCGTACTGACAGAATCGGAGCGCCTCTCCGATGTTCACATGAAGATCAAGGACAACCTGTGCAACGACGTCAACAGCCAGATCAAGACGTGGCAGAAGGAGAACTACCACCACACGCTCATGCAGATCAAGGAACGTAAGGACCTGGAGGATCTGTTCAAGAAGGCCCAGAAGCCCTGGGCCAAGCTGCTGGCCAAAGTGGAAAAGGCCAAGGCGGACTACCATTCGGCCTGCAAGACGGAGCGCAGTGCTACCAACCAGGAGCGCAATGCCAATGCCGACAGCTCGTTGTCACCGGATCAGGTAAGAAACTTGGTGGAAATCAGAAAAACCATTGCTTTATTTGAATTGGAATTCTGTGGAATCATTTATTTTTCTTAAATTGGTTTTATCTTGAAATGTTCAATAACTAACCAACAAACATTAAATCCAAACCTGAAAATTATATTCAAATAAACAAACTGCAGTCCTTTTTAAAGTTATAGCCACATCTATCATTTCAGTTTTTTGTTTATTTGATAGTATGTTGGTTTTTTTGTTGATTTGTAAGTACTGACTCCATTTTATTGCCTAAAATATTAATTATTACTTTATTCTAAACCCTTTTTCCTTATCTGAATCAGGTGAAAAAAATGCACGATCGAGTGCAAAAGACCAAAGATCAAGTGCAAAAGTGCCGAGAAAAATACGAGCAGGCGATTGCCGAAATCACCAAATACAATTCGGTTTACATCGAGGACATGACATCCGTGTTCGATAAGTGCCAAACCTTTGAGAAGACGCGACTGCAATTCTTCAAAGAAATCCTTTTTAATGTGCACTCGAGTCTCGACCTCACCAAAGTGCAAAGGTGCGAATAAATATTAAATTTGTGTTTAAATTATCCATCTTTTAATCTTGTGTTTGGTTTCAGCCTGCCCCAAATCTACGAAGAGTTCTCCCACACGATCAACAATGCAGACCACCAAAAAGACCTGAAGTGGTGGTCGAACAATCATGGTATTAACATGGCCATGAACTGGCCATCATTTGTGGTAAGTTTGCTATTATACTAAAGCACAGCTTAGCCCCTAATGGAACTTCCGCCCTGTTAACAGGAATACACGGAGGAGTTCCGTGACATTGCTAAGGGCAACAAATCAAAAGAGGCACTGCCGGCAGCACCCATCACGCTCATCAATCAGCGACCCGTAGCCGAGGATGTGCACGTAAGCTAGTTGACTGTGCAGTAATTAAAATCAGACTAAGCCAGTTCTTTAGCAGGAATACCCTACGACAAACAGCTTGAAGAAGAACACCAGCACCTTGGGCAGCGTCAGCAGCAGAGCGAGTGTAAAGAGCGATATGGCGACCACGCAATCCTCAGCCACCACATCCGAAGCCAAAACGTCGGCGGCGGCAACAGCAGCGGTAGCAACGGGAGCGGCGGCCACGGCGGCATCAGCGGCATCCAATCGCAATCCGAGCGTAACGTAAGTTGAAACAGTTTGTATTGTTTTGAATTACACTCGGACTGTTCGCTCGCCGGCCCAGAGACACGTCGCGTTGAGTGCGCTCATTTTCATTGAACTAATTGATTTCAATTTGTATACACAGCAACGGCAACGGCAAAGTCGATGCAAATCCATTCGACGAGGAGGAGGAGTGGGACGAGGGTGACAACGTGCTGGTGGACAACGGTGAGCCGGGCGTGCCGGTCAAAGCGCTGTATGATTACGAGGGCGCTGAAAGTGATGAGCTCACATTCAAGCAAGGTGTGTGGAAGCCCTCCATATGATAATCTCGAATGGTCAGCTCTCAACCCTTTTCGCTCGGCTCTTTCAGGTGATGTTTTCGAGAAGCTCGAAGATGAAGACGAACAAGGCTGGTGCAAGGGACGCATGAATGGGCGCGTCGGCCTGTATCCGGCCAACTATGTGGAGACCGCGTAAGCCGGCGGAGCGGAATAGTGGAAGTCGTTAAGCAGATATATACATGCAGATACGTATATGTAGCATTACAGCGAGGTTAGAGACGCATTACGGATTGCGTATACAGTAAAACAGTCGTTGATGAAAATATTACCATACATATGTATTAGAAATTGTTATGAGCAATCGCTCGCACTATGCGTATTCCGATAGTGCGGCATATGAGGCATTGGGCATTTAATCTACTTACGAGCAAGGGATGCACCAATACCGATACCGATCAACAAACCAACCTACCAATCAACTCACCAACAGTAGCAATGCGGCAGTTAGCAGGCCGATACGAACATTCAGATATGTAACAGAAAACTTAGCGAAAAGTCGTCAACAGAACAATAAGTGTAAACGTCAATGTATGAAATGACATTACAAATTAAATGTATTATGTAATTTATGCTATGTATAACAAACTGAAACTGAAATTATGTATTTTTTGTCACGATGCGGCCGCATTTTTACTCCCTCACTGCGCCGTAAACCTTTTTTGTGGTCAGCCGGGGGGCGCAGCGTAGTCTTTGGCAAATTTAGATATTGTACATGCATAGCATTTGTAATGCGTTTCTTGAACATTTTATTATTTATGAAGTTTTGTGTATACATACGTATTGGAATATGTATACTGTACATGTACATTTTTAAATGACTTAAATTATTGAAATAAAACAAACAAAACACGATTTCGTACATCTTTAATTTGTTCCCATTTATAAACAAACTGATTTATTTGGACTCTTTTATACGGGCTTTTGTATATATATATATATGTTTATTCAGTGGTTTTCAACAATTATTTTCTAGAAAGACATTTGGGGTTTGTAGATTAAGTGTGTATGATTGTCACAGATTTTGAAAGATTTTTTATGAATTTGATAGCATGCTTTTGGGGTTGGAAGATAATCCGAGAGTGTCAGAAATCAGAGGGTTCGAAAAACTTTGGCGGATAAACCTCCTCTCTGGTTAAAAGTTATAGAAAAGTTAAATACAAATGGGTGCTTTAACAAACTGGTTCGGGGTCGAGTAAACTAGAAATACTATAAATTATATTCCTTTAGTCCTGAATTAATGTATATCAAAGCATGAATTAAATTAAAACTAATTAATTCATGAAAAAATTAAATAATTATTTTTGGATTATTAAAAAGTAAATTATTGATTAACTGTTAAAATAAGACATTAATACCGTTAGCAGCATTTTTTTATTGTACTGAAATAATAAATATAAGGTAATAAGGTAATTACTCGTTTTCTATATTTTGTATTCACTTTTATATTTTTTCGATTAGTTAAAACCTAGAAACATTTTTCAGTGTGTAAGTTTCCTTTTTCAATGCTTATCTATATTCGGTAAGCAAATAATAATAGAATTATTACAATGCCGTATGCAGTGTGAACTCATATTCAATTATTTAAATTTGCAGCAGCGCATCAATTTGCAATAACATTTTAACTACCTCGCAAACCTTATTGACTTGACGTTTGGCTCTTTTGACTACATTTACTACTTTATGCAAGTGGAGAAAATTGTTTCAAGACAATTACACTTAAAATGAGAAAACCTTAAAGAATATTTGAAACGTTCATATATTTTTGGTTACGCAAATATTTACTTAAATAATTATCGAGTTCGTTGTTTACATACTGTAAAACATGTTTTCAAATAACAAAGTCTACTTTCAAAATGTTGATTGCAGTTGCTTGAAGCAGTGGCAAAATTCGTCCAGATAAAAATTCTATAGTAAATAGCTTTTAGTAAGAGAATTCAAGATGTTATCTTCATGCAATTTATTTAGCAATGGAGACTTCTAAGCTGTTTTTACTTTTTTACCCCTGCCCAGTCATGTTTTCGGCGAAGATCGTGCCTAATTGTTAAGAATGTATATACGTTATGCCTTGAATGGTCTCTCAACATTACGAACGTTTATTTTTAGGTTTTATGCGATAAATCGTTGCATTTGAAGCCACGCTCCATCCCCCATTACTCATTCCAATTAATTTAAACATTTTTGTGTGTTCGGATTATTTTAATATTATCAAGTAACGTACAAAATAATTTAAAATAGTAGATATTTTTTTTTCAATAAAAATATCGCAATTTTTGTTAATTTCAGCTTTTATTTGTAATGAACCTAATCAAATTTGGAGTGTTTTTTGAAACTTATTTCAGTTGTTTTTTCTAAGTCTTAATTAAGTAGAAAAGTTTTTTAAAGGAACTCGCAACAGGCGTAATTAGTAAAACAGCTTGGGAATGAGGAAACATGTAATTTTTTCCACAGTGATCATTTTAGTTGCGTCTGTATTGAGTTAGATTTATAAACGAATTCTAAAAAAAGAAAATTTCACCCTTCTTAATCTCTTTCCATATCAACAATCATCAAACAAAACACAAAATATTTTCGGACCACCTATCTATACAGCTTCAAAAAATTAGCATCACTAACACAAATATGTTTAAGTGGTAAAACTAATCATTTCCTTCCAATTTTTATATTTTTTGAATCTAAGTTTATGTTTCTTAAAATGTTCTTTGATAAATAATAAACTGTATAGTAGTGGTACTATTATTTTTCCAACTGTATGTAGTGTATTGTATTGCATTGTAATCTTTGGGCATAGAGAGCTCGCCAGCATGCCGAGCTACTAAAAGCTATATTCTGATATTTTGGTTTGAAGCAGTCGAGCACACAATCGCGAACAGAGCGGACATTTCGGATTCGGGTCCGGAAATGTGTGATAGCCAATTCTAAAATAATAACAGTATTAAGATTTTATTAAAATTAAAAAATTAACTTAAAAGCATTGTTTAAATCTGTATAACGAAGTTTATTTTTGATTTGTGTCGCCCTAAACATGACAACCATTAAATACCAACTAATTCCAACGGATGATGAACTACCCAGGGAGGAAAAGCCTCTAAAATGGATAGTAAAAATATGTTTTTTAAGTGTGGTGCTCCTGATTCTAGCGTTGTATAACCGGAGTCTCTCGGGGAACCTGCTAGACAAGACCACACCTTCGGAGGTCTCTATGGATACAAGTACGGTCAAAACTCCATTGGTTTCTTCGAGTCTCTCTAATATTTTATATGACACCAGTACACTTAGTACTATAAAAGTGACAAAGATTACGAAGAGATCTACTTTGAGTGCTGCAACAGAGACTAACAACTGGAACACAGGCTCCACCGATATCCCAACGGAGGAGATTACAGAAACTCAACCGGAGGTCAGCACTGAGAGAAATATAATACATGTTGCCAATGAATCGACACCAGAGACCCCATATGCATTAGAAACGGAATCGGGGGTGAAATATTTCGTAAATAGCCCGCAGTGTCAAATGCGTTATCCGGATCCCTTCGCCAGCAACATTCTGAAGATCTACAAAAAGCATAGCTATATAGTGTGTGATAAGAGCAGGGACATGATCACAGTGAACTTTAACGAAACGGACAGCACCTACAGGCTTCACATGCTGGAGAAATGCGAGTGCTGCTACAAGCAGATCCTTCGAGCAGGAGTTTCAACCATGGCGGACCACCAGTACAAGTAAGTTACGAAGGTCATATAGAAATGGTCACTAAAGAGGAATTTCCCGGCAGGCTACGTCCGTGTGTGAAATTCCAGCAGGACTTCTTGGTACCAACCAACGTGACAGCCATGATTACCTACTGCCGCCGGCCCCCTTATAAGAAATTGTCGCAAACGAATGCCTTCAGTTTTGTTCATCCTCGGAAGGAACCGCCCAGAGCCCCGAATCCAGACAAAATGCCCAGTGTTTTGCTTTGGGGCATCGATTCCATTTCCCGCATGACCCTCGAGATGACCATGCCCCAGATGTTTAAGTACCTAAGCGCACAGCACTGGTTCGAACTTGAGGGCTATAACAAGGTATTTATATTTTGGAAACAAATTTTACAATGAATAAAGTTACTTTACACTCACTTCAATCAAAAATTTTACGAAATAGAAATTTGTTTATAAATATTTTAGGATAAACAATTAATGAGCCTTTACATTCCATAAGAGCTTTGATTGAAGTGTGTTTAATGCCTTCGCTCCTTACAATATTAAAAAATTTTACCATTTTGATAGGAAATGAAGGAAGTAAAATCATAATTTCCTACTTTCTGCTGCAGATGGGCGACAACACATTTCCAAACCTGATGGCGGTGCTCACGGGATTCAACAAAACCTTCGCGAAAGCACAGTGCCGACCCGATAAGGTGGGTGGCCTGGACGCCTGCCCACTTATTTGGAAGGACTTCAAGGCGAGGGGCTACACAACCGCCTTCGCAGAGGACTGGAGTGGATACTCCACATTCGACTATTTGAGCAAGGGCTTCTTTCGTCCGCCGACGGACGTGTACGGCCGACCATTGATCCTGGCCGCAGAGAAGGAGCTGAAAATGACACATGAGAGTGGTCTGCCTTACTGCTTGGGACGCAAACCATCTGCCGAGTATATCTACGACCTGGGACTCCAGTTCACCATGGTCAACCGTAACAGCACCTTCTTTGGCATGTTCTGGACCAATACCTTCAGCCACAACGACTTCTCTATGTCCTCCGCCATGGATGCGAGGATGGTGAAGTACATGCGGACGTTGGACAAAAATGGCATAATGGATAACACCATCATCGTCTTCTTCAGCGACCATGGTTCCAGGTTTGGACCATTACGGAAGCTGGATAGTGGCTTCGTGGAAGAGCGTCTGCCCTTCATCTTCATTCGTGTGCCGCTTTGGATTCGGGAGAAGTATCCGCAGTTCCTGCACAACCTGAAGCTGAACAGGAATCGCCTCACTTCGCCGTACGATATCCATGCCACCCTGAGGCACCTGCTGGAGCTGAACACTCCGCCGGAACAGCTGCCACGTCCCGAGGGCTGCCCCACGTGCCACAGCGTCTTCCTGGAGGTAGACTGGTCTCGCAATTGCTCACAGGCTGGGATCGAGGAGCACTGGTGCGCCTGTGAAAAATTCTCAACGTTATCCACAATGGACGCCCGTGCCAAGATCATGTCCACTCAGCTGGTGGAGGCCATCAACGGGTTTGTGGCTGGCAAAGAAGGGGCGGAAGGATGCCAGCAGCTGAAACTTGACGAAATATCCTCGGTGAAGCAAAGGGGTGACACAAATCTGTATAAAATCCATATAAGTGCCCAACCTGGTAACGCCACGTTTGAGGCGACGGTGCAGTGGGATGAGAGTGCCCAACGGATCTCCATCCGGGTGCCCAGCATCAGTCGCTTGGACACTTATTTCGGGCTGTCAGAATGCTCTTCGGTTAAGGAGACCAAAAAATTTTGCATCTGCTGAGTCCTGGACAACCGCAAGACCGCACAAAAAAAAGGACTCGCTACTGCAATCGGTCGGATCTCGGTGCCTTTGTTGTTGGAAGGTACCGAGGCCTATCACTAGGGTTGATCTTTGGGCGGATGGTTAGTGGCTGACAACTACTTTGGCCAAATAATTGCGGCCTAGCGATTGTGCGAATGGGAAATTAGTTGACAATTACATGCCAATTGGCAGATACTCGGGTAATTGCCTTCTGATTAAAATAAGATAGCAGCCCAAAATTAACTTAATTCCTTGCAAATATCTATCTTATTAGATATATCTGCTTATCCAATTCCTCCCAGTTTGATTCTTAATTTTTGAGTGCATACGAGCTGGTAAATATGGTAATCTTATTCCAAAGGAAACCTTGCTTTTCTAGAATTAATTTACTCTGTTAATATTGACAGTGCAATTGTACTTTAAGGAGCCAAAGTGATAAAATGTTAATAAAATGTATTTATACAATAGGTACTGCCAAAAAACTATTAAGAAAAACATTTCGTTGTTCGGAAGAAAGTAAAGTTTGCATACGTTCCTTTTCATACTTTATAAACATTGATTTAGTTTACACGCCATATTAAATAAAAACATTTTAAAGTTGCGTGTGGATTTCTTTAATTGCTATACGATTTGTGATTATCCATTCCTTAAATTAATGTTATTATAATTACGAAAATAAGAATATCGAATAATTATAATTATGTTTTGTAAGTAGATACTGATTCTTTGTTGTTTTCAAAATGCTTCGGTTCTGTAGCATGTTTTAATTAATTTCTTTATTGCTTTGATTATGATTGCAGTGTAGGGCTGTTTGCAAGACCACAAACTCAAAAATAAGCCCATTGAATATTACAATTTTAAATAAGATAATTGCAAATAAATTAAACCGTAGTACATAATAGAAAAACCGGTACACATATTGTCATTAGCAAGCTTTCCTCATTTCCACAGTATTCAATGGTATTATATTTATGCCGACTATCCAATGGTTATTTTCAATTAACAGTGTAATTGATACTTCAAGAACTCAACGAGGGTTGCCTCAAAACTCGTTTCGCGAAGGCAACTGTTATGAAAACAAATTTACGAATCAATCAAAACATACGCGCATCAAAATATATCAGGCTCAACTTGTTTTCCCATCGAAAGGGATGAAATGGAATGGGATCTGATAGGAGGGCAGGACTTGAGAGAAAACATGGATGCGGATGGGTTCACCACGTGGAAAAGGGAGGAAACCAACCTACGACCCCTAACGTTAACCACAACAAATCAAAAACTTTCAAAATTATGTTTAGTGCTGGTAAGTGATAATAAACCGAAAATCAAATGTTCTTATCTACTTAAAGTTTTAAGAATATTTTTATAAATAAAAAATAATTTTTATCTTGTGTGTACAAAGTTAGATAAAATTCCATTAATAAAACCTGTGAGCCACGTTAATTTCTCCTTGAATAGTTAATCAATTCATTTATCAAGGACCAACAATAAATATTAATATTTTGGTTTCATTTATGAATTCTTATATTAAACTGATAAATATTTTGAGAATTTCTTCATGTTAAAAGGATTGTTATTTAGCTAATAGAAAATACTCTTTTTATGTAACGGTATACTATCCGCATTACGAATACAGCAAACATTTAATGGAGACAATCGAACTCGTGTACTTTATTGCCTTCGCGGGCCTAATCTCGTCCGTTGATAAGGATAATATAATTATAATTATGTTTTGTAAGTAGATCACTGATTCTTTGTTGTTTTCAAAATTCTTCGGTTCTGTAGCATGTTTTAATTAATTTCTTTATCGATTTGATTGTGATTACAGTGTAGGGCTGTATGCAAGACCACAAACTAAAAATAAGTTGAATATTACAGTTTTAAATAAGATATTTAAATAAAACCGAAATTATAAATCAAATGTTCTGATCTATTTAAAATTTTAAGAATATTTTTATAAATAAAAATTAATTTTTATCTATTAAGCTTAATGTGTATCTTGCAAATTATTGTTGACCTGTAGACCATTATTAAGACCTGTAAAGCGAATTAAATTTCTCATTGAATAGGTAAACAGTACATATATCAAAGACCTACAATTAATCTTTAATTCTTATATTCAACTTATAAATATTTTCAGAATTTCTTCATGTTAAAAATACTCTTTTTATGTAAGGGTATACTATCCGCATTAAACAGAAGCAGAATCACAGCAAACATTTGATGGAGACAACCGAACTCGTGTACTTTATTGCCTTCGCGGGCCTAATCTCGTCCGTTGATAAGGGTAATACAATTGAGCCAAGGGGATGGCTACCTGGCCGGTGCTGGGAAACGCCTATTAAACGCCTGGCTGCTTCCGAATGAGATTTGTATTGGGCCAGGCCAATCTCTTCGTCCTGCCAGACAGGGATGGCCATACACTATCTGCCTGGGATGCAAATGGCGGCGATGGGAGGTCCTGGGATAAATAGCTCGTGGATGCGCAACGAACTCAGCAGTAGCACTTTGACCAGCCCGGCGAAAGGATCGATCGCCCAGAGATGAGTGACTTCAGCATCGAGTATATTCTGAACCGCGCCGGCGATAGATATGTGGGCACCAATGCCTCGGTGGGCGTCCTTCAGCGACTTCGTGCCAGCCTGCCGTTCCATCCGTACGCCCCGCCATCGTATTCCAGCAAGGCTCCTCCTCGGGGATCTCCTCCAGCGGTGGCCGAGTGTCAGGTTCCGGTCTACGACTGGCTGCAGTACACCCGCTATCATCCGCCCAAGCTGCCCAGGGCACTGCGGCAAAGTGCTCCCGCCAAAAGGACTCCCGGCCGCCTGCCCCGCATCCCCTTCACTCCCCAGCAGCTTCAGGCTCTGGAGAGTGCCTACAAGGAGTCCAACTACCTGAGCGCCGAGGATGCCAACAAGCTCGCCGAATCCCTGGAACTGACCAACACGCGGGTCAAGATCTGGTTCCAAAATCGAAGGGCCCGCGAACGACGGGAGAAACGCGAAAAGGACGAGAGCTGCGACTCCACCTTCTCCTCGAATGCCTCCAGTCCGGAACCGGAAATGATAGTCGTAGCTTAAGATGGAGAAGGATCCACTCCATCTCCTCTTCCACCATGGCTGTTACCGTGTAACTTCACATTCAAATTAAGTGGCTTTCTGTAAATACATTTACATATTTGTAAGATAGCATAAGTAAAACAATATTTCCTAAATATCGCACAATAGTAAATAAATTGTTTATGATACATATTTTAAATATATTTGAAATCTGACAATAGTAAATCTATTATTTATTATACATATTTTATATTACTTTTATTGGGTTAATATTGAACCTAGAACTACTCATGGCAATGAACCATGCTTTTTAAAATTCTACAATTTGTAAAGAGTTCCATAATCTATTTAAAATTAACCTCAAGCTGTGTGTTGGAAACTATAATATTCAGATCATACATAAATTAAATCCAACCATGATTAGCAAGATTAGCAATTGTAACTTTTGGTTAATTCTGTTTATTGGAATAAAAACGGCTTTAAAATTAGTCAGATAATCACATCATTTGAGTAAAAGATTATTCTATTTTAGACAACAAAATATTTGACTATGAATTACGAATATTAGCAGATGGTAATTTGCAATATAACATTAGTTTCAGATAAAATAGGTTTCCTTAGAAACAAAATTAAAATTATTTTTAAATTTGTTTGTCAGAAATGAAATTATGAATATTATTACTTACAGAATCTTGAAAATATTTAAAATATATTTTCAACCTTTTCTTAAATAATGTTTACAAAAACTTATAAGCTAATTGCTTCGTTAAAGGAGATAAAACAGACTTATTTGGTATTTAAATAAACATACATTCCTTTAAAATTTAGACTATACACGAAAAAAAAATGTTTTTTTTAATGTGAGATTAGGGACAAAATTCATCGAGAATAATTAAAGGTCAAAATTCCTACAACTTTAGACAGGTTTGACGCTTTTGGACATTTTTTCCTGGGTCTAGTGCGTTAAAATATACATGCTCGTATTCTCAGTATATTTCTAATTAGATTATAAATTTATACATAATTTGTATATATTTATATATATGTTTCTGTATAAGCAGTCATATCCATTTCACCTGATGCAAATTGCGTATGGATTGAGTAATTTAATATTTTTTTGCGGAAACTGGTTGACTTCACTGGTTTTCTTTCGCATGGGAACATCGCATTCGAAAAATGGGATCAAACGCAGCCGAACCAGATATGATAATTTGTTAGGATGTGTGGCCAAAATTCGAGCCCATATGGGAAAACATCCAAAAAAAAAAGGTGAATGAAAATGTGAAAATTCGCGTGCCGGAAAAGCATCAAACTGAAAAAGGAAGACGAAGGGCAGGCTAAGCCGATTTTGCAATTGTTGCCGTTGTTTTTATGGTCAAGAGTAATTTGTTTTTCCGCTGCCTTTGTTTGCAAACATGCTAAAATATCAGATTACAAAGCGGCAGTTCCTCCAAGCAGTGGGGGAATCGATTTCGGATGCGTTTCCCAAGTCCTGATTCTGCCACAAGGTCTGGCAAATGAGTTTACGCAAATCCAGGAGATGTCTGCCCCTAATCCCAAACTAATCCGATCATATGAGCAGGGAAAAGAAAGGAGATCCACACCGAAGTGGACAACAGGAAAGGAAGGATCGCATGCGCCATTTGGCTATCTCAAATGACCATCGAAAGGAGGACAGAGTGGAAGGGTTGTGCTGCACTTTGATGATACACCCGCGGTGGGATCATGAATAAAATACCAAATAGATAGGAAAATCTAAAAAGCAGGAAATTGTTATATATATATATATATTATATATTATTTATCTGATGGTTCGTCGCTTAAAACCTGCATTGACCCATCTTTATTAGGGTCAGAAATCATTCCTTGACTACGTTACAAACTTCTAACACAAAATTAAAATAACCTCTGCAGGGTACACAAATTCATGAAAACATGTTTGTTTTGGTCCCTAAAAACAAATGTAGAAGTTGAAGGGTTGACAATTTAATCAGAAGTCGTATCAGATATTAAAAGACTATTAAAATGTATTTGTAAATTTTTTTACATATATGTGTATACGGTCACTTATTGCAGTTGAGACCACATTTCAAACCAGTAAAACCTTAAGGTTCACCTTTCTAATGTCCAGACCTTCGAAAGATCCTGAACAATTTAAGCCACACTCATTAGACGCAGATAATTCGTTCAAATTTGTCAAATCGGCTTATGATTTGCATTCTATGACGGAATGTTTATGTTACTAATCTAGTCCTGTTTGACAAACAATGCGGCAATATTTATTCTAATGGCGTAGAATAACACACAGCCTGTAGTCTCCGAGGGTCCTTTTGCCGGTCCTTTCTGCGGACCAAACAAAGGACAAGCGCAGGCGCAAGCGGGGTTTCAAGGAGAGGCCCACAGAAACTGGGTCAAGACGGGCGCGGGCGGACTAGTGGCGGGGCTTAACGTAATTCCCATTTTTGCGTAGATTGAGGTAAGCGGGGTGTGCGGGCTTAGAAGGGCGTCAGCCAGACTGTCCTTTTGCGATCCATGAGATGAGGCTGCAACACTTATATATTTAATGGTGTTATATAGGAATAGGAACTGTAAACGAAAAAAAACTTAATTTATCTTTATACCTTTAAAAATGAATTAGTAAATTATTTTATAAGCACTGCAAATCCAATTTTTATAAAAATAATTATAGATATATACAAGACTTTGAAAGGGGAATACTCTGTAAATTATATTCTCCAAAATTATTCATATGATGCATTCTTAATACTCAAAAAATCCCAACTTCCTAACTTTAAAAACACCAAAGTTATGGCATTTCCAATCGTTCAGTTATATAGTATAGGATATAGTTGGCCGATCCTTATGAAATTTTATAGGTCGGATTAATAAAAATACCTTAAAATAATATTAATAAAAATAATAAAAAAAAAATAAAACCCATAGAAAATCTCAACTTCCTAACTTAACAAACACAAAAGTTATGGCATTTCCGATCAATCAGTTATATGGCGGCTATTGGATATAGTCGACCGATCCGGCTCGTTCCGACTTATATACTACCTGCAATAGAAAGACAACTTTTGGGAAAGTTTCAAGCAGATAACTTTAAAACTGAGGGACTAGTTTGCGTAGAAACGGACGGACGGACGGACGGACGGACAGTCTGACAGACGGGCGGACAGACGGACATGGCTAGATCGACTCTCCTGGTGATGCTGATCAAGAATATATACACTTTATAGGGTCGGAAATGTCTCCTTCAATGCGTTGCAAACTTTTGACTGAAATTATAATACCCTTTGCAAGGGTATAAAAATCAAATAGAGGAGACTAAAAAATACTACTATTAATTGCCTAAAAAGACTGAAAAAAGAATATATTTATTTGACTTCGACTTAAACTAAAATATGTTATACAAACACAGCCAAATATTAAAAAACACCTTTAAGAGATTTTAAATTTAACGGAAGTTTTAAGCTTTCGGTTGAAAAATACCGACTTACTAATAAATAAACCGTTTTGCCAAAACTGCAGACTGGTCCTACTTCGAATAATCGAAATCGACATTGCAAAAAAAAAAAACTAGTGCTGCCACCTTCACAGTTCAGCGTTGCCAGACAGGTGAAGAAAATAATATCGATTGTTCGTATCGATTGTTAGAAAACAAAAAACTATCGATGCATCGATAGAGCCGCCGATGTTTCTGCGCCATCTTTCTTTTTCGGGATCCGCACACCAAGTCAAAAGGTAATCGAGTGATTTTTGTCGAAATATAATAGAAAATAGCCCAATTAAAGCGAAAATACCCGTGAAATGTGTGAGCGGGCGAGTGTCGAGTGTCATGGGCATCAAGTGCCCGTTGTAAAACGAGTGAAAGGGCTGAAAAATAGAGATTAAATCGGCACACGTGTTTCCCCATACAAGCCAATATGAAAACTAATAAATATGCGGGGCATGGTTCTTTTGCAGAGCGAATCAACATGCAGCTGTTCGTCCGTGGACTAGAGACCATTGAGGCCCTGGAGGTTTGCCAGAATGCCACCATCGCCGTCGTCAAGGTGAGTCCACCCGAATTGGATATCCCAAAAAGCAAAATCCTAACCTATTTGTGGCTTCTATAGAACCAACTGGCTCAGATGCACGGATTCAACGCCGAGGAATTCAGCCTCGACTGCGAGGGCACCACTTTGTCCAACGAGACGCCCGTGACCGCCCTCAGCTCCTTCGAGCTGGACCTCAACATTCCCATGCTGGGAGGCAAGGTCCACGGATCTTTGGCTCGTGCCGGCAAGGTCAAGGGCCAGACGCCCAAGGTGGAGAAGCAAGAGAAGAAGAAGAAGAAGACGGGACGCGCCAAGCGCAGGATCCAGTACAACCGCCGGTTCGTCAACGTTGTCCAGGGCTTCGGCCGCCGTCGCGGCCCCAACGCCAACTCCACATAGAGAGCTTTGGATGAACAAGTGTCTACCTTTAACTCCAGATTGATATGTTGTTCATAAAGTAATTTCAAACATAAAACTCCTATCTTACAAATTTCAAGTGGTCCATTGGTGAAATCAAAGCCCGTTTTAAAATTTCTCTAGTTAACTATTTTTCTTTGAGAATTTTATTAAAACGCTTTTAATACTTATTGTGCAAATCGATATCAGGTGGGCAACGAAAAAGTATAAAAGATTATTGCAAAATCTTTTTTCTTATCTTATTAGTTAGTTTATCTTGAAATATGGAATGTTTTATATCTTTTTATTAATTTGTTGATCAATTGTAAAGGCCTTTTATAGCAGTTTCCAGTTTTTAACAAAGATACTTATGTTTTTAATCATTTTTTTCTATTTAACATTTTTAATAACAGAATAGGCTTTATTGTGCTTTAAAGAAAGATTTGAGTTATATTTTATATTTGATTTGATTTAAATTGTTAGGAAAACGTTCGATTGAAATTGGTTGGAAGTATTATCTGTTAAGAATCTTCAATAGACTTTGTGAGTATTTCAAGTATTATTTTCAGAGTAAGGTGAACTCCAAATAGAGAAAACGTTGGATAAATCCCGCCGAGAGTGTGGATTACAGATTGATGTTTCCAAACAAATTTCGTAGCAACCATTTAAACCCACTATTTTATACACTTTCAAGGGGTCAGTTGGTAAACTCGCGACGTTTGCGACTGTCCTCTGAAGCGGCGGTACCAGAACTCGAAGCAGCCTATTAAGAAGGCCCCCGAGAAGCCCAGGAGCAGGACTAGGAAGCATCCCTGCATGTCGTCCATGTTCACCTTGTGGTTGGTCACCTGTCGCTGGGCGCTCTTGCCGCTGCACTTGTCCGCACTGGGAAGGTTCATCTGATGCCAACGCTCGATGAAGCCCATGCGGAACATGCTGTTGATGTGGCGGTTCACCAGGTGCAGGTACGCACTCTGCGAAGGCAGAATCAGAGCGATTTGCTCGTCTACGAAATTCTCCTTGCCCAAAGCGAAGCGGCACTCCTTGTCTCGCTCAAAGTGCTGCTGCACGATCAGCTGCAGGTTGATCCGCCAGTCGATGTTGATGCGCTGGCCCCGCTTCACCGCCTCGATGTCCTCGTCCTGGCCACTCCCGTAGATCCTGGCCAGCGACATGTAGTGCTTGAAGTCCTCCCGGGTCGTCGTCTGCACGTACCTCTCGAAGAAGGTCCCATTACGCAGGCCGTACTGCGAGATCGCCTTGTGGCGCTCCAGCTGGTGGAGGTAGTCCACGCCCGGCTGGAACTTGGGGAACGTGAGGAAGGCCACCAGGTTGCCGCAGTAGGTGGTCACCAGCACGATCACCACGATCCACCAGAATCCCACTACCAGACGGCCACTGTCGGCCCGCGGCAAATACATGCCTCCTGTGAATGGGAAAAAGGAGTGCATAGTATTGGTATGGATTCGCTTTAATTTTCGGTTTTATTATCTTATCTTATTTTATTGTTTTACCACAATCAATTATAACACTTACCCTGCTGTAGCAAAGCCCCAAATATGTACCAAAAACAGCTTTTAATCGTGGACAAACCTCTGATTTGCATTTCCTTTAGAGGAGCCAGGCGATTGATGGCGTAGAGCATGGGAGCTGTGAGTAGGATGATGCCGACCAGGCAAAACCAAGTCTCCATGGTAAAGGGAGCTGTAAAGAGATAAATCCGCGACACCTCATCCGGCTTGCGGGTGATAAAGGAGTACTTCTGCACACTGATGGGCATGGTGTAGTTGAAGGGCTTCTGGTCGGGATCGTCCACGGTCGCTGCCACGGCGGCGATGAAGAACTGATTGTTCTGCACCATCTCCACCACGCGGTAGGGTATCCGAAACGTCATCGACCCCAAAAGCTCATCCTGCACAGAAGAGGTTTGAAAAGGAATATAGCCTTGAAACAATGGAGGCTTCTCACGCTTTCATTGTTGTTGGTCGTGCTAAGTGAAGTATCATCCTTCCACGAGCTGGCTTCGTGAAGATAGTAACTGAAATTCAGGGCCCGACTCAGCTCCTTGATGATCTCCATGACAATTCCGGTGTGCTTCACTATAACTCCATGGCTGTTCTTGGTGAGGATTTGCCAGGGTGGATTCTACGAGCGATTTGAACCAATAATAAGAAATATATTCCTGGCTCAAAGACTCACGTGGACGGTCACAATGTCCATGGTGATGTTGCGGAAGTGGTGCTCGATGTGCGGGAAGGCCAGTTCCTGGCAGACGAATCCCAGCAATGGACTCCAGTAGCCAATGTTAATGAACTCGAAGTTTTGGTTCTTTGCATCCCGAGTGGGAGCTAAAGACATAGATAACAGATTTGTGAGTGCAAAAAATAAAGTCGAAGAATTGCAGACTTACTTGCGCGGTACCTGCGATTCTCCTGACTTTTTCCCCAGGTAATGGCCGTCTCTATACGCCATCTGGCGCAACTGGAGCACTTGGCATTGGCTTTCAGGTAATCCTGCTCAAAATTAATATGTATTAACAGATATTTTATATTGGGATTTAATCCGTATAAGCCCAAAATCGTTCTTGAAATTATTATTATTATTATAGTGCACAGATTAAATTAATTCTGGTATACTTATTTTTTGTATAACAAATTTGTTTCATATATTTAATATCATATGATTTAAACAATATTAATAGCTAACCCCCTTACTTAAATTAATAAACCTACCTTCATGTACTCTAGGATCTCCGCTTGCTTCTCCTGCTTTGTAAAGCGAATGGACTCCCACTCCTCATCGGAGATTTCGCCGTAAATGGACTCCTCCTCAACGGTCATCTTGGAAATGGAGGTCACCAGAGCGAGACTTAGTTCGGAGATCGTGCAGTTTAGCGTGTCCTGGCAGTCGGGCATTGTCTCATTGAGGGCGAAGGCTATGTTGGCGCCCTCGTCCAGATTGCTGGTCACGGTGGCAGCGTCAAAGTCTCGACGAACCTTATCCAGCACAAAGAACATCCATTGGTTGCCCACATGGAACATGTTCAGGGTCTCGGCTATCTCTATGATGTCCTCGTGGAAGGCGGATACCACTAGGAACTGCTGGCGCTTCTCTTCATGTTTGTTGGGAGCAAATTGGGCAAGAGCACGCCGCAGGAAAGCTCGCTTCTGTTGGCCCCTCAGGGAGTCGTCGATTTTGTAGAGGATCAATGAGATTGGAGTGATGTGATTGGTGGTGCTTTCATGCACAATTGATTTAACCAGAACCGAGTTATCATCCACTGTTGCAACAAGTCAAGAAAATGTTAGAAAATTCAGATTATTTTACATTCGTTTACACGAGTTTTTCCGGATTTTGTGTACACTCCTAGAAATTTAAATGGAGTACTAAAGATTGAGTCCACCTACATATTGTTTGATCCACAAAAATCACTGCTGTTTTCCAGTTGAGAATCTGTTGAACCTTAGCATCGAGAATGACTTGGGGAAATTCGTCACCATGCTCAACGATGGGTATCTACAAAATATTCAATTTCGCTTTTAAAATGAATTCTGCGATCGAAAATAATCCATACCATCAGAGCACGATTTAGAGGCAATCGAGGACAGTCGGAGTCTGTGATGGCGATCAATAGAATTGATGTTTCTTGAGTGTTCTTGTAAAATTTCCATGTATTCTCGCAATCCGTCACCGTTATCGCGGCCAGAAAATCTACATTATTTCATATAAGCTTAAACATTCGGACCTATACAATAATACAAATCTCACCCTTCTTCAATCGCACCGAGTTCCAGCTAAAATATTTCACATTTATGCCCCCATTCTTCAGATTCTCCCGTATTATGTCACTCAGAATTTTCTCAAAATGGGCCATTATGTTTTGACCATGCGTGGTCATATAATCGTGATCCACCACAATAGCTGAATATGCGATATATGTTAATGTTTTTATGTAGGTACCCGCAAAATACAAACTTACCCAGCGAGGCGTTTGCGCTTAGAAAAGAGGAAAAGTCATTGGCCGCTGTTGGGACCAGGATGTAGAACTGCAGTCCAAAAAGGAGCAGAAGACAAGCCGATGACCTCATGACGCCAGGATTCCCAAAAGACAACTGAGGAAGCCAAGTCCACGAGGCAACGAGGTTACCTCGCTGATAACACAAAACCCAATTAAAAAACCAAACCACCGACTTGCAGTGAGCGTGTGCAGGTCCCATGAAAAATTGATTGGGGAGAAAGTGGAAAAAGCCTGGTGATTGACGGTTTGCGGTTAGGCGTCATCGGCCACATCCAATGTGAAATAATACGCAGGTGTTCATCGATAGATATCAATTTTTGTTAACTTGTTTTATTTAATTGTAAGTATTTTATGAAATTGTTTGTCAGAATTGCCTGTATGAGCGATAATTACATTTTACAATCTTATATCTTAGGGGGACTGACAGAAGTTTTGGGAAAAAAGGGAAGAATGTTGGGGTAATGTGTCTAGGCTAGGGATTACAACTCACTTAGGTTAGATCTACTGGCTAGTTCCGTCGAAAATATCGTCTTCGATTGTGTAAATTGTGTCCGGCTTCTTAGGGTTACGAATACGCTGATCTTGTCGTCTGGGTTATATGCATGTCTATATATAATTTAGCTACAATTACGCCTATAGGTCAATTCCCAAAAATGCTTTCAAATATAAATGCAATATATTTCGATTTGTTGCAAGTGGTTGTGTGGTTCCTTTAGTGTATAGTTTATGTATATGATTATTACGAGTAAGTTAAGAAAGGGAGTATAACCTGTATAAATATAAATATATATATATGCTCCACTGTACATATGTATGTATGTCTTGCATATGTAGCTTGAATCTATATTAATATCTGGTTCCACGTCGCCTTCAAACTGGTGCTTACTTTCATTGGTGGCTCCGGTACCCTCAATTCTCTCAATTTTTGGAAACTGTTCGAATATCGGGTAAACACTAAGGTTGATTGGAATGTCCAAAATTGGCTATTTCGTCTATTGCTCTTGATATATGCTTCTCCGGATTGCACGTTCCTGCTTCTACTAGCATTTTTGATTGATCTCCCGAGACCCAGGTCGCCTAAACCCATTCGTCCCGGGTTTACGACTTTTCTCATTCGTTCAGTATCGCACTCAGGCGCTCCTCCACGGCGACCTTGCGTGACTTCCAAACGAACTCACAAACGGCGATGACGCAGGCCACACCCATGCCGCCCATCAGGACCACAAAGACGCCGCCCACATTGGCCAGTCCCAATTCATTGGCCGCCGACGAGGATTTGGAGGTCTCCACGCGGCACTTGCCACCGCCGCGCTTCTCCTTCCACCACTTGGTTTTCAGAATGTGCAGCTTGCCCTCCTCCTGCAGCTTGAGTATCACACTGTTAATGGCAGTGCGGTAGGGAGAATCTGTGAGTACGATTGGTTAGCAGTAAGTTAAGGATCTCTTTAAGATGGTTGTAAACAATGCAGCAGCTGCAGGTGCAACATTCATGTATGCAATTTACACTCTAAGCATTTGTATAACAAGACCAATTTCAAGGCTACTGCTGCATCCTTTAACACCAGTTTAAGATCTACTTACTGGGCGGTGTGGCAATGCCATAGCTCTTGGTGTCCAGCATGCCGCCCACTTGCGTCAGTTCGCAGTTCCGCTCGGTCACATACTCAATGGATGTGGACTCCATCAGAAAGGCATATGATCCTTGAAAACAATAATATAATATAATGGTTTTTATTGTAATGATATGCTGACTAACCCTTGCCCTTGGCAACCCGCTCTACACCTTCGCCATTGCTGGCTGTAAAAACTGAGGGACGAGCTGACTCCATAAAGGACCACATGCGCTGATATGTGGAGATCTTTGAGTCCTGTAAGAAGAACATTATTTGAAAATATTAATTTTTATTTATATTATCTTATGTAATCATCCCCACTCACCCTGAAGAAAGCTGCTGTGCTGCCGCCCTTCAAAGCACCATACTTAATTCTCGTCTGCTTGGCCAGATCCTCGGCACTTTCGATGGGGGAGTCCATGCGCTCGACTGTCAAAAAGGCAGCCAAATTGGCAGTGTACGAGGAGATCATGATCAGGGTGAAGAACCACCAAATACCAGCCACCATGCGAGTGGAAAGAGCCCTGAAAAAATAGTCTTTAAAAATGCCTTAACCAATATCGAAGTCAAATATTACTTGGGCAGGAAGTCGCAGCCCTGCTGCATCAGAGATCCAATGGCAAACCACATGCAATTGAGCAGCGTAAACTGACTCTCGACCTTCTCGCCATGGGCATCCGTATAGGCAGGCCATTCATAAGGAGTAAATCTGCAAGAGATAAGATTAGATATCGGAGAAATAAACAATATCAAATATAACAGACTTAGCCAAGATGAAGAGCAGCACGGAGACACCCAGGTACGCAGTGGCCATGTAGATCCACACATCCAAGGACAAGGGAGACAGGAAGGAGAACAAGTTGGGTGGCTGCTTAATGGGCTTGCGGTACAGAATAGAAACTCCAAGGTTCATGAAGGGCGTGGTGAAGTCCACCGCCTGCTCTCGCTCAAAGGTGATGGTCAGATCTGCAATGGCCAGGTCGGCACGCTGCTCCAACAACTCCCGGATCATGCCATTCCATTCGCTAAAGGGGTAATGGGTAGGTAAATATTAAATATATATTCGGAAAGGTAAACATAAAGATTTTTCATACCCAGTCAATTTGTTGAGACTTCCATAGCTGCCATCTGGCACTAGTTGGATTTTATAGTTGAATCCCAGTGACTTGGAGATCTCGTGGATCAGATCCACCGCATATCCTTCAAACTGATCATTGCCACTCAAGGGAATAGCCGATTCCTTCCTCATGCAGTAGGGATTACTCTACAAGAAATAGTATAGGAAATTATTCTTAAAAGTTATGTATCTCTATATCTTAAAGACTCACCAATATGGTAGTAACCACCAGCGTTTTGTTCTTCAGATTGGCCTCGATCTCCTGCTGCTTTTGGCTAAAGGTCCTCGTGAAGTTGATGCCGTCGGGCAGTGTGGAGTTCCAAGTGCCAATCTTCCGGATACCTGCCGGGGTCAACTCCACTATGTCCAGCATAAAATCGGTGCGGAATCCCTGGTGATCGAACTTGATCACGTTGGTAAGGCCCTTCATCTCGACGATCTTCATGTAGTTGATCAGGCTGAAGCCGTGCTGCCAGGTGCTCTGGCCATCGCAACTGATCGGATGGATGTCGATCTGCTGCGAGGTGTCCAGGTCGTGCAGTGCCTTGGCGAACAAATGCACTGCATCGTACATGAGAGCCGTTTCCGAGCGCACTGTGGTCAGGTTGGCTGATCGCAGCAGACCCTTCTCATCGATGCTCCATTGGCGCACCACATCCGAGACGATCTTCTCGTTGATCAGCCGGAAGCCGGTGATGTTGGTGCCGCCGTAGCGGAACTCGTCCAGGTTCACCGTGTGCAGATCCAACGAGGTCACCAGGTAGCTGTGGTAGTCGCTCATCATGCCGATCTGCTGCGCCTGCTTCAGCACCTCGTGGATGCGCTCCGTGGAGCAGTCGAGCACGATGTGCGCCTCCGCCGAGTTCTTAATTTGCTTTAGCAGCGGCCTGTAATGGTGAGTTTAAAGTTTCAATAACAATTAACAATATTAAGTTTATTTTCGGCCATTCAATTTGTTTTGACCTTTAGCTAAGGAACTCCAAACGAATATTAAGTCTAGAAGCCATACAATTCCTTTGAACTTTGTGAAAACTTTTTAAAACCAATCAAGAGTTTACTTTGACTGTTCCCAAACTTTGAGCCAATTAAGACTCCAATACATTTTAAAGGGGCTATTGTAAATCAATCAAACTCAAAAGTTTATATGTCATCCTCGATGGGTTATGTTATATTAAAGCGTTTGAAAACAATTTAATTTATAATTAATTATAATTTATGATATGTTTTAAATGGATTTTGATCTATTAAGAACTAATTTTATGTGGTTATTTTTGCTCATAAACAGACATATTTTTATTGACGTATTTTTAAAGCTACTTTTAAGCGTTCCAATAATTATTAATTCGATTTAGAATAAACTATTTTAGGTAGTGGTAGTTAGGGTTTCTAATTTAACGTAATGTGAGCCTATTAGGTATTACAAAAATAGGTCGTATGTGTAAGCCAAAAGTAAGGAAAAAACCCTGAAAAGTAAAAACGATTAGCTTGGCTCACCGGTAATCCCCGCTGTCGCTTAGCTGCCGCACTGTGATGGGAAATGGCGTCATTCCGTGTGCCTTGAGGAGCTCCTGCAGCCGCACGATGCCGTCATTGTTCTCGTAGATAATGGTGAAAGTCTTCCAGCCCCAATGTCGCACGATATCCACGTAAGCCTGAGAGCAAGCGAAAACATCAACAATGCAGTCTTTGAGGGTTTGGGTTTTGGGATTGTGTTTGGGGGATTGCACCTGCCTACCTTTGAGAGCGTATTAGGGTGCGGATAAAGATTCACCAGGCAGCTTTCGCGTCTCAGCCGGTAGTCCCAGCGATTCTCCAAGTGGGGAATCTGAAACGAGTGTGTTGTTCAAGGGGTTTTTGGGGGACATCTTCAGCCTCATATTCACCTCCATGTTGTCGCAAATGCTCTGCACATGGCTGGCTGTGTGCGATGATTGTGGCCCGAAAATGGCTGCAACTCCGATGTTCAGCAAGCCACAAACTGTAAGACAAACATTGCAATTGAGGTTTATGTTCAAGTTATTTGTTGTTGGCACTCTTGACGAACTTAGTTGAGCCCAAACATATTCGGAAAATCAAACCCAACCGCTGTAAAATATCTGCGGGGTGTACCAATCACAAGGAGCAACTTTTGACATTCCTGCTTTATGGCAAATTGAGTGAAACAGAGTGAAATCCCAAAGAGCTTAAAAGTCGCAAATTGATTTTCAAGTAACGTGCTCTGTTCTCAATCCCATTCCCATTCCCAATCCAATCTGCTTGTGGAGGAGATAATCTGGGGATACGACTTGAAAGGCTCAAAAAGTAAAAACGGGTCCAAGTAGCGCAGTAATGTGCTTGGCTTTTGGCTCGGTAATGTTCAGTTAGCCTCGTTCGCATATTTAAAATGCACTTCAGTATGACATAATTTCATTTTGCCCGTTTGGCCTTTCCTTTTAGCCTTACCCCTACCCCTCCACCAGGATTTGCCCCCTCATGTCAGCCGGCATCCTTTGGCTCA